AATCCACTCCAGCCCGTTCAGTTGCCTGGCACCCAGCCCAAGTCAGACAATAGACCAGCCCATTTTTAACAGACCCAAGAGTCGGCCTATTTGGTTGGCACGTGGACTGGACTGGACTGGACTCGCGCTTGGCAGCGAGTAGGGGACAAGGGGGGCAGGCGCTGTCAACCCACTTGTGCTGCAGCGACGTGGCATGCTCAGAGCTGTTGGATTTCCAACGGCTAGTTTTTCTAGACCGTTGGATTTCCAATGGTAACAAAAATTTAAATTTTACTTTTAAACTGGACCGTCCGATCACAGATCAACAGTCCACGTTTCCCCCCCCCCAAAAAAAAGGGCCCAACGGTCAGATTTATGACTGTTGGCCACGTGGCAGATCCTTGGCTCTTGGATTTGAATATTTTTCAAATCCAACGGTCCAGATTAATTAACTACATTAAAATTAATTAAAAATTATAAAAAAATACATAATTTTTTTTTTAAAATACATTAAAATTTTAAAAAAGTTTTTTTTTTCCTAGAAATACCTAACCCTCATCTTCCTCCTTACACCACATTTCAATATTTTCTACACTTTCCATACCATCTACATTTCAATATTTTCTACACTTTACGAGAAAAAAATGTCTTCGTGGAAGCTCATTGAAGATGTTACGTTGTGTGAATGTTGGGTTCACACTACTCATGACCCGATTACGGGTAATGAGATGGATAAGCGAGAAATGTGGAGTAAAATTACGAAAGTGTTTTGCGATGTACATGGAAAAAACGCTAGAACTAGCCATGTTTAACATAATCTCGTAACTCGGGATCTATTTCTGTGTTCTGTTTGTATTGATTGATGACAAGATGTAGCCATAAAATATTGATTTTGACATTTTATTTTTGTTTTTATAAAAAGGTTGTATGATTTGTAAAGATCCATGATTGATGGTTTGGTGTTTCTGGGTTCGTGGGTTACGTTGATTGTTGAATGCCTTATCAATTTGATTTTTAATATGTCATTGTTTATCTATTTCCATAATAATCTTTTCAAATAAATGTTACTTTTTGACTTGAGAACTGTAATTTACCTTTTTTATTTTATCTTTTCCTGTATATTTGATTCATAGGGCTCTTGTGTTGTGAATTGTGACTGAAAATTTGATCCTCATATGGATATAGGCAAAAACCACTATTTTTTCCTTATTACTTTTCTTTTAAATTCTATATATACTAAAACCCAAACGGGTGGAACACTGTTCATGAACAGTGAAAGTAACAGTGATCTGACGAAATTGCCCTTGCTTGGTCTGTTTAATTTCAATTGCGCCATATTTTACACGTGTTTGTCATCGGTGAAATGGAAGCAGGCTGAAAAATCTGGGGTGTTCCACCTGTTTCCTTGCTCTTCTTTTCCTCTTCTGGACTCTTCTTTTCCATCGACTTCTCTGTCACTAAGTCGCAACCAACTACAACACCGATTCACCCTCCATTTCTCCTGCTTAGCAAAAGAAAATCAAAGGGGTTCACCTCCTTGGGTTCCGTAAGATGCTGGAAGCATCTTTCGTTTCTCTCTTTCTTCTTCTTTTCTTCCACCTCTTCGTTCGCCGAAGCAACTAAAAATAAAAAACCTACTCGCGGCTTCTTCCTCCCGATTTCGGAGCTTCTCTCCCTTCCACACACACTCTCTCTCTCTCTCCCCCCCTCCATTGAAGCACCTCTATACACAGCCTATCGTTTCTCCCGTAATTATATATTTAATTATTTGAAAGTTAGTTCTTCTGTGTAAAATTCTTGAACTTTTGATTACCTGCAATTTTCAATTTTCTACAGTATAGGATTTTTGGATAATTTCATGATTTAGCGATCCTACTAATGATATATCAAGTAGAATCAATATGAGGAATAGATTCTTCAATTTCGTAGCTTCCAAGCCTAGACAAGAGATTTTTTGCGTTTGTTTATGTCTGATTTGCACCGATTTTGGTCGGATCTATTTCTGATTTTGTTTTCCGTTTGAGCACCGGTTGTTTTTGCATTGCTGGGAAGCTAATTTTCTACAACTGAGGTATGTTTTCTAACTGCTGTGTTTTGATTATTTTTGGATGGAATTGTAACCGTTTGGTTTTGGGTTGGCTCTGTTCCTGTGCTAGAGTTTTCCTGGCAAAGAGGATATTTTGCGGTTTGGTTCCTTGTTTGGTCAGTCTCAGTTTTACCGACGGTTCCGGCGGTCCTGTTATTTTTTGGGTAAGTTATTTCTCTTTTTTATTTTTCCTGATTTGACAACTCCTTGGTTGGTGTTAGATTAAAATGTGTGTGATTTTTTCGAAAAATTACTGGTGACATGGATTAACAAGATTCTTGAGTGAAAAACAGGCTTTTTAGTGCGGTTAAACAGAAATATAGAGATTTATTGTAAGAAAGTTATGGACGATTTAATCAAATTAATTGTACTGATAGAGATATGAATGAGCCTAATGTTTATTCTTTTCACTCAAACATCATTATACCATTACAGAAAATCAGGAATTTGAACATCAGCTTGCGACTTCGCCGTCGTTTTGAACGCCACCAACTTCGATGCAGTCCTTGGAGACACCCCTGCCTCCTTTGCCATAGTCGAATTCTTTGCTCACTGGTCAGCTTTTCTAATTTCTATGTAAACCATTGATTTTATTTGGGAAATAAATGGAAACCCTTATGTTTTTGCTTAAAGTATTGATCTTTGAGTGTTACTCAGTAGATATTAGATCGATTGCCCATTTGAAAAAGAAGTGAGATCACATGGATGATGGATCATGTGAGGTTCTCCAATTATTTGAGATCACATGGAAATATTTACGTTGTCATAACTAAAATGATCTGAAAGCTTATTGAGAATTGTTGTCATTTGCTTTTCATTGTAGCGTTACTTTCTTAAACTGATTAGAGCTAAAGATTGCTAATTCCTTAGCATTCAGTGCATATGCTTATTAATGTCTGTTTGTTATCTTAGAGGCATATGGTGGTTTAGTTGCACTCTGCACACGTGCAACTCAAGGCTGACCCCAAATTGTTCCTCCTGAAATGATGTTGTGCTTATTTGTAAATTTTCCTGCTCATCTACAATTCATCTTTTGTCTCTTGATATCTTTTACAGGTGCAAAACGCCATAGAGTATTTAAACATCATCGGGGCCTTTGATGAGAATGAGAATCTGACTGTTTTAGGTGGGGAGAGATTTATTATTCTTTTAATATTTCAATTATGCATTGTGATGCTTGCAACTCTTTGTAATGGTTGTGAGTTTAAATTTGAAAATAATTAGCCTAATGCAGTTTAAATCACTTGACAGTTTAAATGCAGGTTGTTATATAGAGCTTAGGATTTAGGTTTTCCAGTTCAATCAAAGCTAATTAGACAAAATCATGAATTAATTAAATGTGGTGTCTTCCTTTCTCCTCTGTTTCTTTTGTTGTTGGGTGAAAGTGAGCATGGGTTTATGATAACCTATTTAAAAGGAAAGCTGGAGAGAGAGAGGGTAATAAAGTAGGTGCATATAGGGACTCAAAGGTTAAGGCATACTGATGCACAGATTGGTATGGTAAAAATGAAAAGAAAGTGAACCCAATAGAATATAGAAAATGAAGTGTTCATCCAGTGGAAGAATTTTTAGACAAGATGAGAAGATGTAAACAATTGGAGGTCCATACCATTTTCCAAGTTCTTTATTAATGTGAATGTTTATGTTATTCTGATTAGGAACTTAAGTGAATAAATCGCTTTCAAATTTGTAAACAAATAATTGTTTACAAAATAATGAACTTTGTTAAACAAAAATAATTGCTTACAATAGAGAATAACTGTAAACATTATTGAAGTATATATTTAAATATTTTTAATTTATATAAATAGATAGGTTGCTATTGCATTCTGTGCCTAAATCAAATCACTAACTTGAAACCATGCTCTTTATTTGGGAACTGTGTGTATTTCTTATTTGAATTAGTATGGTTTGTTTTTCAAATTTGATTTTGTGTGATTTCATTTTGATAGATATTTCAGAATTTCAGAAAGCAAGTGCGGTTTGATCAATTAAGGCCAACCTGATTTACAGAGGTCTGATTAGAGGTACACTACTAATTACCTCACTTTTCTCCCAAGAGTATGCTGCTTTTTCCAAAAGGAAAAAGATTAGCTTGGTTTGATCTCTTATTTGAATTGGGTAGATCTGGTTTGATCTCTTAATTTGTGTTGTGCAAATTTTGTATGAATTAATTTGGGTTGGGCAGAGGAAGCAAATAATTTTTTAAATTAATAAATTTAGTTTGGTTTTTACATATGTTGATGAATATTATTTACCAAAGCATGAACATGTGTCAAGAAACTGTTCGTTTCAAACTATTCATTACAACTTTGCACCAACTGTTTTTGTTATGCCTAATAGTTTTAAAACCTGCAGCATCGCGCGGGCTCCTTTGCTAGTGTGTTCTGATTCTGAGATTGCCTCTTTATATAATGTACAATTTTTGTAGTTGCCTTCAATGCTATTGTCATTGGCTCGGGTGCTCAAAAATATCTGTCAATATGGTTTTACCAATAATGTGGGTATTGGGGTGAATATCATAAAAGCGAACATGTGTAACTATAGATCTGCAAATGTTTGGTAGATAGAGCAATTTGGGAATTTGTTCACCGAAACATCTACGGATATCATGTATATCATTTTGTTTTTTACTTGAATGTTGGTTGTTGAATGCGTTATCATTTTGGTTTTTAACTTGCCATTGTTTATCTATATCCAAAATGAGTCTGAATCTTTTCAAATAAATGTTACTTTCCAATTTGAGAAACTGTAATTCACTTTTTATTGATCTTTTCCTATATATTTGATTTACAGAGCTTGGGTTATCGATTGTGACTACTCCTCACATGGATTATAGGTAAAACCACTATTTACTTTTCTTATTACTTTTCCTTTAAATGTGTAAATGTGTTTTATTATGAGATTCTCTCGTTATATATTTGCAAATTTCCAGCACTTATGCAAACTTCAGAGCATACAGGAAATCAATGTTTTCCATTTTGGGTACAAAGAACCAAATATGTTATCTATGTCCTTAATGAACTTATTACTTTTAATTGTTTAGTTTAACCGATGTTTGGATGCTTAAAAATATTCTTTGTTTTTAGTTCATTCTGCTCCGCAGTTTATCTTACGTCTTTGAACCAAATGCAAATTCCAATCTTGCATTGTTAAGCCCCGAAATTAGAACAAAAAAGCTTGCATGAAATTTGATGTTCTCTCTGATTGAGAACTCATTTTAATTCTACTTGAATTTTTCTCTGATTGATTTCTGGGTTTATTAAATTGTGGGATACTATTTCAAAACCCGCAGCAGAGCATGGGCATTTTTTCTAATATGGTCCCTAAAATTCAGCTACATAAATATTTGACAGAGATTACTAGAATCACAATATCAATTATTATAATGAATGGCAAAATTGAACCAAATAATTAAGAAAGTATCTCGACAGAATGCTTGTAACTGGTTATTTATGCAAGTACGAATTTCACGGAGCTAAACACCATATTTTTCAACCACACAATTTGCAACACTCTAGTAATCAGGGTGTGCAGATATCAAATACATGTTTATGAAGTTCATTGTAAACATTAAAAATAAAAATAATAAAATAAAATTCCACAACATCTCCTTATTTGATAGACTGCTCGTAGCAAGAATTCTAATCTGAAGTTGGAGCTACATATTTCTCCTAGTTTTATAGGGCCGATAGCTTCTTGATGGTAAGCATACCAAATGGCTCGGGAAGGCAAGGAAGACTATGAGCTGATAGTTTCTGTGACACAAAATGCATTGTCGGACGCAACCCAGGACGCGTCCGTATACAAGCCAATGCTATACTCATTACAAGCACCACTGCCTTTGCCAATTCATTGGCTGGAGGCTCTAGTCGTTGATCTAACACATCTTTCAAAAGCAACTCAGCATTTTCATTCGTTGACGTTGGTGATGCTGATAGTTGGGACTCTAGCATATCCCCGGGGTGCCTTCCCATCATGACTTCTAGTGCCACCACTCCAAAGCTAAAAACATCACACTTATCCGTCACCTGCATAATATATGCAAGCTCTGCGTATAAAGAGAAGAAAATTTGTCAACTCTACAAAAGATAGTACAAAATTGTGCAACATTAAAATTTTACATTACCTGACGCCATGTATCCTAACGAACCAACAATGTTGGTCCAGTTGGATGAATCAATACTCAACTGTCTTGATGTTCCAAAATCTGAGAGTCGGGGCTCGAAATCTTGCTCGAGCAATACATTATTGACAGTTACATCACGATGAACAATTGGTGGTGAACAATCATGGTGCAGGTAAGAAAGTTCATGAGCAAGTCCTTGCACAATTTTTACCCTTGTTGGCCACCCAAGTTCAGTAACCCCTTCTACCCCATACAATGCTTTTCCGAGGCTGCCTCTCTCTAAGTATTCGTAAAGCAAGAATATGCAACCCCTCCTTGAAGAGAAGCCGTATAGCCTTATGATGTTGCGATGCCGGATAGTTGTCAAAGTTCGGATTTCATTCTCAAAACTTTGGAGATTAATTGCTGGAATGTCATTAGAGTCATTCGTGTTAAGCCTCTTCACTGCAACAACTTGACCTGATTCGAGCTCTGCCTTGTATACTCTTCCAAATCCGCCTCTCCCAATGCAGTGTTTCTCATGAAAGTCGTCTATGGCCTTGACAGCTTCCCGAAATGTGAATTTCACTTCTTCTTGCAATATCATTGACTCATAATCCTCAAAGTTTTGAGAAGTTTTTATTACCTGAGGCCGGATTTTGGACCTCTTGTGAAACATAAGAAAGAAAGCAATGGCAATTGCAACAGTTGCGAAACCTAATAAGGAAAAAAGGAAAACAGGTACTATATTCTTGTTAGCACTTTTGGAATTTGTACTGGAGGATTCACATTCAGTTAGTCCCTCTGCATGCATGGACGGAGGGAGGTAAGGCCTAGTGGGGGCACATGCCCCTTCTCATCTTTTTTGTTTCATTACAAATTATTCAATTAATCATATTAAAATAATGAAAATCCTTTTTTAGTTTTTAAATGCCCTTTTGTCTTGTATATTTTTCTCACGCACTAATGTCTAAACCTTGTTGAGTTGCATGTACTTGGTTAATTAGTATAAATGAGCATTAGATTGTCAACAATTAAAGACAAAATTAGATAATAGAGTAATAAAATTAGGCATTTTGTAATTAATTTTTTCAGCATTTGTAAAAGAACTAGCTTTATTTGTCCAAAAAAGAGCTCAAATTTTTTAAGATGCCCCCTCTTGGTAAAATTTCTGGCTTCGTCCCTGTCTGCATGACTCCCCAAGCCATGGTTACCAACAAAAGCACTTTTTGGCGCATTATTGAAAATGCCACAAGTTGGGAATGGCCCTGTCAATTTGTTATATGAAAAGTCATAGCTACTTAGAGTAAACATGTGATCTAATGCTGATGGGATTTCGCCTGAGAGATTATTGTGTGAGGCATTGAAATACTGTAATAATGTGAGCCCGCCCAATTCTGATGGTATTGCACCCGATAGTGAATTGCTGCTGAGATCCAAGTAGACCAAACCTGTTAAGCCTGCGGCGAGAAACAGATGAATTGGCGTTACCCTTGTCAAATTGTTATTAGACAATGAAAGAAGCTTGAGGTCCAACATACCTGAATTCCATGGGATCACTCCTGTGAAGTTGTTAGCGGACAAATCGAGTTCATAAAGGCGAGAAAATTTGCCTAGAGAGGAATCTCTCCTGTCAAGTGGTTATTGGACAGATGGAGTATATAAAGTTGAGGCAGTTTGCCTAGACTCTGAGGAATCTCTCCTGTCAATTAGTTATGGGACAAATTGAGTCGCTGAAGCTGAGTCAATTTGCCTAGACTCTGAGGAATCTCTCCTGTCAATTGGTTATGGGACAAATAGAGTCGCTGAAGCTGAGTCAATTTGCCTAGACTCTGAGGAATCTCTCCTCTCAAGTGGTTATGGTCCAAAGAGAGTCCCTGAAGTTGAGTCAATTTGCCTAGACTCTGAGGAATCTCTCCTGTGAAGTAGTTATGGTCCAAAAAGAGTACTTGAAGCTGAGATAAATTGCCTAGACTCTGAGGAATCTCTCCTCTGAATTCGTTGGAATAAAGCATTAGATACTGCAATTGTGTCAACAGCCCAATTTCTGCTGAAATGGTTCCGCTGAAGCTATTGTCTTGAAGGTACAAAGAGACCAATACCGTCCAATTGGAGATCAGAGAAGGAAGGATTTGACCAATAAATAGATTAGTATCTAAACACAATTCAACGAGGTTTTTCAGATTGGACAAAGACAGAGGCAGTTCCCCATTGAATTTATTGGAAGACAGGGACAAGTGGGTGAGGTTTGTGCAAAGACCAAGCTCAGAAGGGATAGAAGAGTTTAAGGAGTTGTATGAAAGATAAAGGGACTGGAGCTCCCTGAGTTTGCCTATAGAGGGTGGAATTTTCCCTTCCAGAAAATTATTACTCAGGTCAATATATTGAAGACCAGAAATCAAACCTATATTGTCCGGAATTGGGCCAGAGAATCCGTTATAACTGCTGTACAAAGAGTTGTTGCTCAAGTCCAAAGTTGTGAGGCTGGAGAGATTTCCAATGGCAGATGGTATAGGCCCTCGGAAATAGTTGCCACTCAGGTTGAAGTGGGTGAGATTTGGAAATAGGGAAAAGTCGAAAAGAGCCAGTGTTCCGTTAATTTCCATACGGGAGAGCTGTATTTCAGAGACTGTTCTGGTTTTGGTGCAGACAATGGCAGTCCAGTTGCAGAGGCTGCTGAGGTTGGTGAGGGACCATGAATTGAGTAGCGAAGGTGGCCATGATGATGAAGACAAGTCGTCCTTCCATTGGATGAGTGATTCTGCTTGTTTTCCTGGAGATATTGATGTCGTTTTGATCAGTGGCAATGCGAACAGCAGCAGGAGCATATAATGAAATGTCATGGTTTTGAGTTGCATGATGATCTGTTATTTTTTGGTGGAGTATTTCCCTTTGTCCAAGGCACAAATAAATCGGAGCTAATAACAACTTTGGAGGTGCATGCACTGTTTATAATCCTTTCTTTACGCTTGGAATTTCGCACATGACCATTAAGGGACGTGTAATGCCTTTAATCTTCTGCTGCCTCTAACTTCCAATAAGCTCAATGGATTGCCGCTGCCGGGCCCCCCGAAAGCTTCATTGGGTCGGCTTCCGAGAAGCTACCAGAAAGTACAAGTTTTTCTGAATTTCCTTTGTTTTTTTTATCGCAAGGTTTTTCTGTTTTTCATTTACTTTTTATTATATGCTTATGTTTGTTGTTCCTGAATTTTGAATTTCCATGGGCATTTGGCTAATTTTGTCTAGTTAATTAATCTGATTAATTGTTACTTGATTTGGCAAGTGTTTTGGTAAAGACATGATCAACTCGGTTCACTTGCTGCCGCTGCTGCTGCTTGCTTTATTTGAAAATCAATCGTCAGAACATCTGCTGCACTCTTCTAAGGAGGTGGATTGTCTGTCCTCCTATTTCCATACTTTTCTCATCTCCTTCTGTTTGTGTGGTCACGGTTAAGGCACATTAACATTTTATATTTCTATTACTTTTTATTTTATTATTTCTATAAAAATTAATATAAAATGTTGACGTGCCTTAACCGTGACTACACATCACAGGAGGGTATGAGAAGAGTATGAAAAATAGGAAAGCAGACAATCCACTCCCTCTTCTAGATGTTCATGTTGGTATCTTTTTGTTTGTTTTCCATGCCTTAACCCACACGCTGGGGCTGGACTTTGTTCAGTCTGCGCAAATAGATGGGGCCGCGGGAAGACTAGACCGCGTCAATCAACATTAGCACCACACATCTCTTGATTTTGAGTTGAAAAATCCTTTCCAAAATTCCACAATATCAATTATTATAATGAATGGCAAAATTGAACCAAATAATGACGAAAGTATCTCCACAGAACACTTGTGTAACTGATTATTTATGCTAGTACGAATTCCACAGAGCTAAACACTATATCTTTCAATCACACAATTTGCAACACTCTGTAGTAATCAGGGTGGTGCAGATATCAAATACATGTTTATGAAGTTTGTTTGTAAACATTAAAAATAAAAATAATAAAATTAAATAAAATTCCACAACTTCTTATTTGATAGACTGCTCGTAGCAAGAATTCAAATGTGACGTTGGAGCTACATATTTCTCCTAGTTTTATAGGGCCGATAGCTTGTTGATGGTAAGCATACCAAATGGCTCAGAAAGGCAAGGAAGACTCTGAGCTGATGACACAAAATGCATTGTCGGACGCAACCCAGGACGCGTCCGTATACAAGCCAATGCTATACTCATTACAAGCACCACTGCTTTTGTCAATTCATTAGCTGGAGGCTCTAGTCGTTGATCTAACACATCTTTCAGAAGCAACTCTGCATTTTCATTCATTGACGTTGATGATTCTGATAGTTGGGACTCTAGCATATCCCCGGGGTGCCTTCCCATCATGACTTCTAGTGCCACCACTCCGAAGCTATAAACATCACACTTATCCGCCACCTGCGTAATATATGCAAGCTTTGCGTATAAAGAGAAGAAAATATCTCAAGTCCACAAAAGATAGTACCAAATTGTGCAACAAAATTTTACATTACATGGCGCCATATATCCTAGCGAACCAACAATGTTGGTCCAGTTGGATGAATCGATACTCAACAGTCTTGCTGTTTCAAAATCTTAGAGTCGGGCTCGAAATCCTGCTCGAGCATTATTGACAGTTACATCACGATGAACAATTGGTGGTGAGCAGTCATGGTGCAGGTAAGAAAGTGCACAAGCAAGTCCTTGCACAATTTTTACCCTTGATGGCCAGCCAAGTTTAGTAACCCCTTCTACCCCATACAATGCTTTTCCGAGGCTGCCTCTCTCTAAGTACTCATAAAGCAAGAATATGCAACCCCTCCTTGAAGAGAAGCCATATAGCCTTATAATGTTTCGATGCCGGATAGTTGTCAAAGTTCGGATTTCATTCTCAAAACTTCGGAGATTAATTGTTGGAATGTCATTAGAGTCATCTGTTATTTGTTCGCGAGTTTTTCCCCTTTGTATGAGGCACAAATAAATCGGAGCTAATAACAACTTTGGAGGTGCATAGTTTATAATCCTTTCTTTACGCTTGCAATTTCGCACATGACCATTAAAGAACGCGTAATGCCTTTTAGCTTCATTTGGTCGGCCGCTCCAAGGAGCTGCCAGAAAATGTTTACAAATTTGTCCATTTCATTAGCCAATTGGCTAATTTTGTCGAGTGTGAAAATGTTTACAAATCTGTCCATTTGAATTTCTAGTTAATTAATCTGATTAATTGTTACTTGAAGATTTTGCAAAGTGTTTTGGTGAAGACATGATCAACTCGGTTCACTTGCTGCTCTGCTGCTTGCTTTATTTGAAAATCACTCGTTAGAACATATGCTGTACTCTTCTATATTCTTTCCTTTTTCGATTATGTATTGTGTTTCTTGTGTTCACGTGTGACACATTTCCATACCTCAACCCACACGCTTGATGTTGGAGCCTGTTATTTATTCGTCGACTCCACACTTGACCAAGACATCCTTCACGGTCCACGCACGCTGGGACTGGACTTTGTTCAGTCTGTGCACATGGCTGGGGCCAGGGGACAGCTCTTGATTGAGTTGAAAAATCCTTTCCGAATTTCCAAGCGTAAGGAAAGGATTAGAAAATCTGCGCCTCCGAAATTTCAGAGTTTACACCAGGTTGCATGGACACTTTGAAACTTCGAAGTATCGGTGTGTTTTTAGTCTTTCGAAATTTCTCGCAGTTTAAACTAGGTTGTACGGACATTCTCGATTACATGGTATAGGCAGGTTGCCAGTTGTGCAATCCCCTACCATTCCATCGTTACTCCAAGCAGTTGTTCTGTAGATAATATCAAGTCTCGATAATTTAATATATTATTTAAGAGATAATTATTATGACTACAAACCATAATATTATCTCTATAATAACTAAAATTTACCTTAACAACTCTCATTTAACGGTCTAAACTCCTGCTTACTCAACTGCCTTGAACACACTGGTCGATGGTGCAATATTCGGTCCAAACAAAGTTGTGACGTGGTAGATACTTATGCCTCATTCATGCCATGTCACAATTTTAACAGGTTTACTAACAAATTTGACAGAAAATGGTAAAGTGAAGTGAAAATTAGTTTCAGGGTACAAAGTGGTGAAATTTGAGTTTCAAGGAGTAAAGTGAGAGTAGAGTAGAGTTCCAGAGACCATATGTGAAAATCTGGTCCCCAAATTTCACTATTCAAATACCTTATTTCGTAGTGTTACGACACGTTATATTTACGGAGTAGAATTTTTTTTTCAAAATTTATAAAATGACTAAAATGCCCCTAGGGGTACGAGTTGACTTTTGTTCACCTTGTGTTCATGACACGTGTGAAGTTTTAGTTAGTATATTCTTGTAGAGCTCGATCACATGAGCACATAGGCGAAATGCCGTTTGCAAATCGAAGCTATGACGATAGAAGTTTGTTTCAAATAGTAAAATATGGATTTAATATTATATAGAAGCTCACTTTGATTTGGGAAGGGACCAATGAGAGAAGAGAGGGAGAGAGACTGGCCAATCAGAAGGATAGAGAAGCCAACAACCCAGACACCTCTTTGACTCGCGTGGGACCCGATTGCGACCCGGGTTTTCTCAAAACTTCTGACAGATTTTTCAGTGAGAACCACTCATCCCCACCTACAATCATCACCATGACACCCCAGTGTGCTTTCCCACTCAAACCCGACTGGTTTTGACCTTAGTTTTGTGAAGAACAATACTAACGAGTTTCGTGAGTTCCTTGTCGGTGACCTGCCATTTCTGAAGGTGATTTCGTCAACCACCACTATAATTAGACTCCCCTTGAGCCCAGAAACATGACCCAAACAAGTTTGGGGTGCGAAGCAACCAAGAAGTCAAATGAACGAACACACTTTTTAGGCTTTCCAGCGGTTCAAAGAGTTTTCAGGCGTTTCCCTATCGAATTGGACCTCGGCCCATGTATATATCTTACTCCACTCTTAAAAATCTACAAACTAGTGAAATTTGAACAATTTTGGCAAAATGTTCGAAAAATTCAGCGAGTCTTGGCCACCAGTACATGGGCCCGATGACCTACTTCGTTCCCTTTAGCTAATTTCGATGCTCGAAATCTAGTTTTGACATTCATTTGACGAGTCTCAACCATTTGACTGTAGTTTCGTAAAGGTCCGCCACATGACCTTTGTAGTAAATGAAGATCTGATAGTTGGATAGTCATGAAATTATAGTATGTTATTATATGTATAATTTGTGGTTCTTAGAAACTTATAGATAAGAAATCCGATGCACAGATCTTCCTGGATTTAATTTCTAAGTTGTAGGAATGATCGTTGACCGTCACTTAAAAATTGCGACTGGCAGAGATCTGACCGTCGGATCGTCATGAAATTTTATTATGTTGTTCTAGAAACATATTAAGACTCTTAGAAAGTACAGATCGAAAATCCAATGAGTGGATTTTCCAAATTGGATGACTAAGGTTGTTGACTGTTTCATTGACCACGTTGACCGAGGGTTGGCTTTTGGTCAACTTGTCGTTCTTAAATACTAATATTAGTATTACTAGAGACCTAATGGAGCTTAGTGAGCTTACTCCAGTCAGCGGGCCATCTTAGGATGTGCCCTCAGTTTACATGCAAGTGGTACTTTATCGTGATATACATGCTTATTGAACTTCTATATGATAAATGATATGTATGATTACTAGTATGAAAATATGAGCCTGGGACCCTAGTAGAACCATTCAGTAGAACTTGTATGCCTGTTTGACAAGATGTTTAGTTGTCATGAGAAATTGATAATGTATGTGCTTACGTTGTAAATAATAGTTGTTGAGGTAGGGTAGGTGGTGTGTTGATTTGACTGCACCATGCAGTAGTGGTACACAGATGGTCTTACTTGGTATATCCGCAATGGGGACCATACATATTTTAAAGGTGATCACGCTTGGTACATCAGCGATGGGTGATCGCTACTTATACGACTAGACTACGCATATGGTTCTGTTTTCCGCGATGGGGAACCATACGTATTTTAAGAGTGATCATGCTTGGTATCTCCACGATGAGTGATCACTACCTAGAGTTATGGGTTACGGTCCTGCTTGATATATCAATGATGGAGGAACATATGTATTTGAAGGGTGATCATGCTTGGTATATCCACGATGAGTGATCACTACCTACACAATTAGACTATGCTTATGCTTCTGCTTAGTGTATTCGCGGTGAGTGATCATTACCTAGAGCTATATGTTATGGTCCTGCTTGGTATATTCGCAAAGGGGACCATACATATTTTAGGGGTGATCATGCTTAATATATCCGCAATGGGTAATCACTGACTACACGATTAGACTATACCTATGGTTCTGCTTGGTATATCTGTGATGGAGGACCACACGAATTTAAGGAGTGATCATGCTTGATATATCTGTGATAGGCGATCACTACCTAAAGCTATAGGTTACGGTCCTGCTTAGTAAATCCGCGATTGGGGACCATAAGTATTTTGGAGGTGATCATGCTTAGTATATTCGCAATGGGTGATTACTGCCTACACGATTAGACTATATCTATGGTTCGACTTGGTATATTCGCAATCCGGGACCATAAGCATTCTAGGAGTGATCATGCTTGGTATATCCGCAATGAGTGATCACTACGTAAGGTTATAGGTTACGGTCATGCTTGGTATATCTACGATGGGGGACCGTCTGTATTTTAGGGGTGATCATGCTTAGTATATTCGCGATTGGTGATCATTGCCTATCTCGAATTGTATGGACTGATTGATATATCTGCGATGGGCGACCTCTTTCTAATTTGTTTCCGTTGAGCTAGACTGGAACCTTAGATTCTAGTGAATAGAGATTGCTCATGGTAGACATTTGTGTTTGTAATTTAGGGTTACAATGTTATTACTTGAAATCCATGTAGCAAAATACGAAAATTTTCTTTATTAGGCTTCGTGAATTGATACTTGATCTTATTGATTGATTAAAATAATTAAATTATGCATCTTTGAGTCATTGAATCAATTATTTGCTATGATTGGGAAGATGGGTTTGAAAACAATGTGATATATGTGAATGACGAAATGACAACCATGGTCGTGAATTGATTGCTCTAAGTAGACTGGAATCAATGTTCTTCGAGTTCTATTGAGTGATTCTAGAATTCTATGCTTTTCTACTAGAAAGTACTATGATAATTGTGGAGTCTATTGAATGGTGAACTACGCATGGCTTGATCCCGTCTGAGGGTACGTAGGCAATTTAACACAAAGGTTATATGCAGCCATAAAGTAAATGAAAAGTTAATGCGCCATTGGACCTTGAATTGTGTTTTGTTCATGTCTTTGAGGCAAGGCATGATAGATGTACAGGTACGTGGTGACATCATGTCTCGATTTTGGATGTATCTAGGGATAGGGGCGTGATACCATAGCCACAAATAAGCCTTTGGATTTTTCTTAACTTTTAAATTTCAAATAAAAAAGAGTTATCTCTAAATTAAGTTAGAAGAAATGTGTCCAAATATTAACAATGAGGCACAAAAGAGACACCCAAAATGGGAAAGAAGGGGCCACATTGGATTGGTGTCGGGATGAAAGGCAATCATTGTCGTACGTGTTTCAATGCAGTTGTTGGGCCAAAGCAAATCAAATCAAACAAAACACATGGTTTTGAACTTTTGAGGTCCATAAAAATAGTGATAAGATAATTTGATCGTTTTTGTCACACAAGTCTATAAAAATATAAAAAAAACTAATGAAAATGATTTAAAATTTTTGAGTTTTAACAATAAGGACAAAATAAAAGGTAAAGTGAATAGTACCATGATTGACTTTTTAATGTAAAAATGTGATTTTTCGTTAAATGAACAGTACCGCGGACTTTTCGTTAAAACTACCCAAAAATATCTCTAAAACAAGATAAACTTATCTATATATTTCAATGGACCGAGCGTGTGGCCACAACCGTTTGAGTTCATATCTCTTTGTATTATTGATATAAGACATGAACCAGACTGAGACGGTTGTAACAACTGCGTCCATTGAAATTTTTTGGCATCCCTTATAAAACTAATAATGCAAGAGAGAGGCCACCATTATACTCCATAGCTGTTTCTTATTCACGTACGTACTCTCCTTCCTGAACTTGAATCCCATTAAAAACATGAGCAACGAAGAAGTAGCCTATGATCTCACTCCGTTGATCAAAGTATACAAAGACGGTCGAGTCGAGAGACTCCAAGGCACAGCCACAGTTCCTCCGTCAACAGTCCAATCCAAAGACATTGTCATCTCCCAACAACCACCCGTTTCCGCAAGGCTTTACCTCCCCAAATCCACCGAAACCAAACTCCCTCTTCTCGTTTACTTTCACGGCGGAGGCTTCTGCATTAATAGCGCCTTTTCTCCCAAGTATCATAATTACCTCAACTCCTTAGTCTCCGAAGCCAAAGTTGTGGCCGTCTCTGTTGAGTACAGGCTTGCCCCGGAGAACCCTCTCCCAGCCGCCTACGACGATTCGTGGGCTGCTCTCAAATGGGTCGCTTCCCATTTTGATGGAACGCGAAATGTTGATGAAGAAGAAGACGATTGGCTAAGTAGCTACGCGGATTCGCAGCGTGTGTTTTTCTCTGGAGACAGCTGTGGAGCTACTTTAGCGCACTACATGGGAGTGAGAATAGGCTCTGAGGGGCTGGTTGGTGTTAAGCTGATTGGGGTTGTGTTGGTCGATCCATATTTTTGGGGGGAAGAGCTAATTGGGGGAGAGATCACTCTCCCTGCAGCTGAAAGGGAGTTTATTGCTGCATTGTGGCGTTTTACCTACCCATCGACTATTGGATCAGATGACCCCCTTATCAACCCTCAAAAGGATCCGAAATTTGGGGAATTGGGGTGTGGAAAAGTACTGGTTTTTGTGGCTGAGTTAGATGTGTTGAAATACAGGGGATTGTACTATGGGGAGGCGCTGAGAAAGAGTGGATGGAATGGAGTTGTGGAGGTGATAGAAACAAAGGGGAAGGACCATAATTACCATTTGTCCGATCCTACCTGTGAGAATGCTGTGGCCATGCAGAAAAAGATAGTCTCGTTCTTGAACTAGTGTTTGCGGTTTTTCCATCGTTGTATTCTAAAGCCTACTAAATTCCTATGTTTTATGAGTTTTATATGTATGTTTTCTTGAACAATATTTCTCATAATCATAATCAATTAATTTTTCGGTCAACAATGAAAGATCATCCATGCAAAAAATTCATTAAAAGTGGAAGCCGTTTAGTTATCTAATTGCGGCATGACAAATAGACGAAGACAGAGTTGTCAATAATATACATATGTGTGGAGCCAAAAATATTCACTAGGCGACACGTGGACTTTTGGACAAAAGAGAACAAAAATACCCTTGAGGCATACCAGGATTCCTACGCGCAAGCAGCGGGCAATCATCTTTCAATCAAGTCAAAAGTGCCCAAAAAAGGTAACAATTAAAAACCTCTTTCATCAAATCCTTTCTATAAGGTATTTCCCAAAACCTAGTATTTTCTATTTCATTATTTAGCTAATCAATTAGCTAAATAATATATACCTACCATATTTCCTAAAATCTTCCTTTAAAATCATAATAATTGACTAATTAAGGGATTAATTCCTAATCAATTCCTTAATTGTCAATTAAAACATCCATTCAACCCCAAAAACAAGTGAAGGGCCGGCCACCTATTGTTAGAAAAGGAATTGGCCATGTTTTGTTTATCTCTTGATATTTGCCCATTTCATCCCATTAATTAGCTAATTCATTTGGTAATAATTTTATTTTGCCAAATTAATTAGTCAATTAATCACATAACTCCCAAAATCATCTTAAACCTAAATTAAACCCAAAAAACCCTAGCCACCTCCTATCCCTATAAATATACTCTCATTCTCACCAAAAAGAAGATTCGAACACTTTGGCAAAAATCCCAAAATTCTCTAAACACTCTTTCTCTCTAAATTCTAACTTTGGCATCGGAGGTTCTTCGGCCAAAGCCCCCCCCCATTCATCGTGGGCGCGTGAGGCTCTTGGCCTTAACCTAAGGTGTTAATTGTTTTGTAGGTGCAAAATCGTCCAAGATCGAGGAGGAAGAAATTTGCATCCACAATATGTATGTAACTTTGTGTTCAAATGTTAAATTTGAACATATGAATTTGGTGCAAATTGTAATATTCATCGATTATTTACAGAATGGTACAAAGAATCCTTATAAGATGGACGCAGTAACGAGAATACAACATCACATTCACATAAATATGCTATTAACTAAATATGGTCCCTAAATTACAGCTATGATATATTTACAGAGATAATTACAATTACAATATCAATTACAATGAATAGCAAAATCAAATCAAATAAGAAAGTATTTCGACATAACACTTGTGTGTAATTGGTTATTTATGTAAGTACGAATTCCAAAGAGCTAAACATTATATCATTCAACCACACAATTTGCAACACACTAGTAATCAGGATGGTGCAGATATCAAATTACGAAATTTGTTGTATCCCTTAAAAACAATAAACATAAAACAAAATTCCACAGAAGCTCCTTATTTGATAGAAAGCTCGTAGCAAGAATTCTAATGTGAAGTTGGAGCTATATATTCCCTATTTTTTTTTCTATTTTTATAGGGCTGATAGCTTGTTGATGGTAAGCATACCAAATGGCTCAGGAAGGCAAGGAAGACTGTTTGGAGTCAATCATATTGCAAGAGGAATTAAAGTTTACATATGCTAGAGTCCCAGCTACCAGAATCATCAAAATCGAGGAGGGACAATGTAGAATTGCTTAAGATTTGTTAGGCCAAAGGTTGGAGCCGCCAACCAATGCATCTGCAAAGGTTGGAGCAGCACAAAAACTCTCAGCTCAAACCCTGCCTTGCCTTCCCGAACCGTTTGGTATGTTGACAATCAACAAGTTAACGGCACTACAAAAAGTAAAAGAAAAGTAGATGACAAGGGGGAGTAGTTCAAACTTCCCCATCAGTATTCCTGCTACAAGCAAATCCATCTAATTTCTCATGTAATACATCTTCAAAACCCTAATTACTCATCTGTATTATTCATGGAATGCGGATTATATGTGTGACAAATTTTCTTAATCGTAATGCTTTAAACCGATATTCCACAAGTTCGAAGTAAACATTGGAACAGAAAGTTCAATATTTTTATGAAAAAAGAAAACACAAAACCAGAGGAAGAAAAAAAAGATAGACAAAATTACAACAATTCGAAAATCCTAAACCTGGTTCAAGAAAGAGACTATCTTCTTCTGCATGGCCACAGCATTCTCACAAGTTAGATCGTCTAAATGGAAACAATGCTCCTCCCCTTTTGCTTCCATCACCTCCACAACCCCATTCCATCCACTCTTTCTCAGCACCTCCCCGTAATACCATCCCCTATCTTTCAACACATCTTTTTCCGCCACGAAAACTACCACTTTCCCACACCCCAATTTCCCCAGTTTTGGATCCTTTTCGGGGTTCATGAGCGGGTCATCGGATCCACTACTCAACGGGTTGACAAAACGCCACATGGCTGCCATAAACTCTCTCATCGCTGCAGGGGCATTGAGCTCTACCCCAATTGACTCTGACCCCCAGAAATATGGATGGACCAACACAACCCCAATCAGCTTAACACCAACCAGCCCGTCCGATCCTACTTTCAATCCCATACGGTGCGCTATATTAGCTCCGGCGCTGTCCCCAGCGAAGAACACGCGCTGCGAATCCGCATAGCTAGTTATCCAATCTTCGTCTTCTTTTTCACCGCCTTTTCGCGTTCCATCAAAATGGGAAGCCACCCATTTGAGAGCAGCCCATGAATCGTCGTAGGCAGCCGGGACAGGGTGCTCCGGGGCAAGCCTGTACTCAACAGAGACGGCAACAACATTGGCTTCAGAGACTAAGGAGTTGAGGTAGTCGTGATACGTGGGGGAGGAAGCGCTTTCGATGCAGAAGCCACCGCCGTGAAAGTAAACGAGAAGAGGGAGTTTGGTGGCAGCGGATTTGGGGATGTAGAGCCTTACAGATATTGCTGGTTGTTGGGAGATGACAACGTCTTTGGATTGGACTCCGGTTTCGGGTTGTGTTGATGGAGGAACTGTGGCTGTGCCTAGGAGTCTCTCGATTCGACCGTCTTTGTATGCCTTGATCATTGGAGAAAAGTCATAACATAGTTCTTCGTTGCTCATGTTTTGGATTTTCAACTTCAAAGAAAAAAGTAGGAGAACAAGAAATGGCTATGGAGTCCTCTCTCTCTGCGTCTTATGTTGCCAAAAGTCTCATGCATTATTAATTTATTAGTTTTAAAAGGCTGTAGGCCATATAAACAAAAGAAAAAGATTAACTTGGCAGACTATTTCAACAACTCCGGATATTTTTTTCGAGAACAGATCCTCTCCGGATCTAAACAGCCGGAGCTCAAGGATTAACTGATTCGGACCTTTAAAATTTGATCCAACGGTCAACAATTATTATAATTTTTAAAAACTTCTCTTTTTTTAACCATTGGATCAAAATTTGAAAGTCAGTATCGCTTGATCTTGAGCTCCCGCTGTTTAGATCCGGAGAGGATCTGTTATCGTTTTTATCGACACGCTGTTGTAGCAGTGCACGGGCAGTTGTTGTGCCGGCCTCCAGCTGGGTCTAATTTTCTTTTTTCGACACGTGTGTCTATCCATTGTTCTTTTTGTTGGTTGTTGAGCCGTCCTCCTTTTTTAGTTGGGCAGATTGTCTACCTCCTGAATACTTTTTCCATCTTCTCTTATTTTGTGCGATAATGGTTAAGTCATTTGAATATTTTATATTAATTTTTTTATAGAAATAATAAGACAAAAGCAATAAGAATATAAAATGTTGACGTGGTTTAACTTTGACCGCATAAATAGAAGGAGATGGAAAGAGCATCCAAACAAAAGGGCTCTAGATTTGTTGTCCCAAAAATGATGTCTCATTCATGTCTCCTTCTTTATTTGTTTGACACGTGTCTTACCACCTAACTCTAATTCAACTTGTTAACTTTTACTAAATTAAAAATAAATAAAAAATAGCAGAAGCAACTCCCAGTTTCCAGTCCCTCTGCCCACACCCACACCCACCCACCCCCCTCCCTTACACCAACCTACAGCCAAAACCCTTCCCCCTCTCCTTCCCTTACTCGTCGCAGCCTAAACCTTATTCATGACTTGATCGTCGTGGACTTGAAACCTAGTACGGACGACGTCAAGGCAGCGCATCGCAGTGATGGCGGCGAGTCCAGCAATGGCGCTGACGCCTGCGGTTTCGCACTGCCACTACGATGCCGACGAAATTTGTTTTTCATGACAGATCTAGAAGATTTCAGAGAGATTGGTGTTTGAAATTTCCTGAGAGATTTGTCTCAAACCTCTCGACTCTTCGACCAATATGATTAAAAAGCTATGTGAATCTTAAGCCAAGTGAGAGAGGGGTTTTGGCTATGGGCTGGCGACGAGTAAGGGAAGGGGAGGGGTAGTGGGAGGGGTTTTGGCTATGGGTTGGCGTAAGGGAGGGGGAAAGGTAGGCGTGGGTGTGGGCAGGGACTGGAAAATGGGGAGTTGCTTCTGCTAATTTTTTTTTTTTTTACTTTAATTTTTTTTTTAATTCAGCAAAAGTTAACAGAGTTAAATTAGAGTTAGGTGGTAGTACACATGTCAAACAAATAAAGAATGAGACATGAAGGAGACACCATTTTTGGGACAGCAAATCGGAGCCAAACAGGAAGGCAGCTAATCTGACTCCTTAATAGTTGCTAGCGCCATGTTGAAAGAGTATTTTCGGTCATAAAATTTATGAAGAATTGATTAAGAAATCAAATGGGAGATCAAGACAAATGATAAAATGATTATTTTTATAAGGAGATATATTTGATGGTATTGGTAACAAAGTTGTTATGCAACGCTTCCAAAATACAACACGTGTTGAGGATATTATAATAGGAAAACTAATGAAAAAACTTAAAGACTTTGAGTTTTAACTATAAAGACAAAATAAAGGGTAAAATGAATAGTAACATGATTGACTTTTTAGTGTAAAAATGTGATTTTTCGTTAAAGTGAACAGTATCATGAGCTTTTCGTTAAATTTCCCTATTATAATTTGTTGTATGAAAAATCTTATGGATTACTTGGTAATTCTATAGCATTTTTATCTGTGACTTTGTTGTTTGATAATGTATCATCCATACATATCTCTAGCTTCGCCCCTCTTCATAGTAACATTTTTTTTTTTATAAAAGTTGGCATTAACCAATTATACACATTTTATAAAATCCAAAATTTTAATTAACGAACTTCTAGTGTAAAGATTAATTCTATGTTAAAATAGGATAAAAGTTCATGATGGCAAATTATAAATTATACTCTTTGTTTATGGGAAATATTTCAGTTGATTGATTGATACATACATTTTTTCAATATTTCATTTATACAGACATTTATTCAATATTTCATTAGGCATCTTTGAAATGTTCTACTTAACTAATTGATTACTCTGTCTTGAGAAGCACATTAGGGTAGGCAGTAGACCAATTGAAAATCATCTAATTCATTAGCATCATCTTCAGAGAAACTTGTAGTTCCCTTTATATTTTTCAATTTTTGTTGTCCCTTTACCTTTGTCTAGTTGTCAATTTGAATCTTCGAGGCAATAGCTTCAGTGGGAATATTCCACCTGGGCTTGGGCAGTTGACAAATTTGAATTATCTACGCCTAGACTCTAGTTATTTTGGTGGGGGACTTCCTAGTCAAATTGGAAATCTAAACTTGCTATACACACTAAACGTGAGCAGGAACCATTTGACAGGAGTGATACCTCAGAGTGTCGGCAATTTCACTCAGATTCAATTTCTCAATTTGTCTAATAACAATTTGGCATGAGTGATCCCTCAGAGTATCGGCAATCTCACTTCTATTTGATTTCTCAATTTGTTTAGTAACTATCTGACATGAGTGATCCCTTTGAGTACGGGCAATTTCACTCAGATTGAGTCTCACGATTTGTCTAATAACAATTTGACATGAGTGATCCCTTGGACTATTGGCAGTTTCACTAAGATTCGGTATCTCGATTTGTCTAATAACAATTTAACAAGAGTGATCCCTCGGAGTATCGGCAATTTCACTCTGATTCGGTATCTCAATTTGGCTAATAACTATATGACAGGGGTAATGCCACCTGATCCCGGCATGTTTGACAATCTACAGTTTTGTTACCAAATGGATTTCAGCAGCAATTTAATCTCGGGAGCAATACCTTCAAAATTGGGCGAGCTCACAGGATTAGAGATTTTCAATATATCACACAACCATCTCTCAGGGGAAATCCCATCAGAATTTTTTAACATGGATAGACTAACCATCTATGACTTTTCTTATAACATCCTCACAGGCTTAATTCCAACTTGTGGCATTTTCCAAAATGCACCAGCTGATGCTTTTGTCGGAAACTATGGCATGTGGAGAGATGCAAGGGGAAAGTCTCCATGTGATTCCTCTAGCGGAAATTCTGAAATAAACAATGACAATTCGAAACGAAAAAACGACATCAATGGTGTCATTGTTGTCATCATATCCTTTTTGGGTTTTGACGTGGTTGAAACTATCACTGGTTTCTTTATCTTTTTAGTATTACGCAAGAGATCCAATCTCCAGCCTCAGGATACCAAAACAGCAAAACTTCTCAGAACTTTGAGAATTTTGAGTCAATGATATTGCAAGAGGAAGCAAAGTTTACATTTGGGGAGGTTGTGAAAGTCGTAGATGACTTTCATGAGAAATACTGCATTGGGATAGGAGGATTTGGAAGAGTATACATGGCAGAGTTGGAGTCAAGCCAGGTTGTTGCAGTTAAGAGGCTTAACATGGAAGACTCTAATGACATTCTAGCAATTAATCTCAGAAGTTTTGAATGAAATCTGAACTTTGATAAATATCCGACATCGCAACATCATAAGGCTTTACAGCTTCTGTTCAAGAAGAGGTTGCATATTCTTGCTTTATGAATACTTTGAGAGAGGCAGTCTGGGAAAATCTTTAGGCTACAAGGGTCAAAATTTTGAAAGGACTTGCCCATGCACTTTATTACTTGCACAATGACTGCACTTCGCCAATTGTGCACCACGATGTAACTGTCAACAATGTATTAATTGATCAAAATTTTGAGCCTCGGCTCTCGGATTTTGGAACTGCAAGACTGTTGATTACTAATTCATCCAACTGGACACATATTGTTGGTTCATTTGGTTACATGGCACCAGGCAATGAAACACTTAAACTTGTACATTTAGGTTCATATTAATTTCAGCATCTTAAGATACTATTTACTTTTTTTGACGTGCAGAGCTTGCATTAACTATGCGGGTCGCTGATAAGTGTGACGTATATAGCTTTGGAGTCGTAACCCTAGAAGTGATGATGGGAAAGTGCCCTGGGGATATGCTAGAATCCCAACTATTAGAATCATCAAGATTATCATAGGACAATGTAGGGTTGCTTTTGAAAGATGTGTTAGACCAACGGCTTGAGCCTCCGACCGATGAATTGTCAAAGGCAGTGGTGCTTGTGATGAGTTTAGCATTGGCTTGTACACCTCCGATGTCTTTTGTGGCACGATAACTATCAGCTCAAGCCCTGCCTTGCATTCCTGAACCATTTGGTATTCTGAGCATCAGCAAGCTAATGGGGCTGGGACAACAAGCTAATGGAAGATAGGAGCCGAATTCTATGTTTACTTGAGTTGTAAGATTGGCACATAATGGCCATTACTTTTGTTTCATGTTTATCTATGCTTGAAGGTATTAATCATAATATATATCAACCAAACAACATTCAGGGTGCGTTTAAAAACTATTTCAATTTTAGTTTGCTTTATTTCTCATGTTTGAGATCCTATGGCCCACGAATAAAAGAAACCTGCATCAATCATACAAAAAAAAACTTGTGTAGGACTTGGCTTGCCACTGGATTTTGCTGAGTGATTTTAATTCACTCAAAACTTGCAACGTGACAAGTTTAAATATAGTCTTTTATCATTTTTTTATATTTCACATTCCCATAATTAATTTATACTAATTAATATCCATCATAAAATCAATCTAATTTCTTCTTATCCCCGTTTTTTTCTTCCCAAATGTTCCCTCCAAATTATATTTTGCAGTAGGACTCTTCATTTTATTCTCTCCCTGTTTCTTGCTTTTCTTAAACAATATATATATATATATATATTCGGCACCCAGTGGTAATTGGGAGGTTTTTGGTTCTTTAAACAATACCTTTTTTTGTTTACCAAAAAAAAAAAAATTCCTTTTTTTGTTCATTATACAATAGTTTGTTTGATCGCATATTAGGGTTATTTGTTTCTTTCTTATGGTTGGGGTTTTTTGGGTTCGGGTGAGGAGGTTTCTTTATATTTATAATATGAATTCTGTTATTTGGCTATGTTTGACACAACATCTACTTTTCTTTATTATGAGTATTTTAAGAATATGTTAGTCTAATTTTTATTTTTTTCAATTGATAGGAGACTGCTGAGGCAACGGAGATCTGAAAAATTTGGGAATAAAAATGAGAGAGAGGAAAAGAAGAAAAAAAAAGAATCATTACATTGATCTCATGGTGTATGATGTATATTAATTAGTATAAAAATAATTATGAGAATGTTAAATATAAAATAATGATAAAATATTATATTTAAAACTTATCCCGTGACGAAATTTGAGTGGATTGTAATACCACTCAACAAAATCTAATGACAAGCTATGTCCCACACAAATTTTTCTCTAATCATATAGCTCACGAAATCAAAGTCAATGATACTAATATTATTATCAAACAAGAAATACAAAGAGAATAACATATTTATATAATTAATTGAGATTTCTTTTCTTTTTTAGGAAAACTAATGAAAATGACTTAAAAGTTTTGAGTTTTAATGATAGGGACAAAATAAAGGGTTGAATGAATAGTACCATGTTTGACATTTTAATGTAAAAATATGATTTTTCGTTAAAAAGAACAGTAACGCGGACGATTCGTTAAACCTCCCTTCTTTTTTCTTATTTGAATCTGTGTAACACACCAGTGCCACCTCATCTTTCCCGCCTTATAAACCCACTTAAATACCGAAAAACCCTCGAAGTCCCCACTGATTCTTCTTCTTCCTCGTCTTCTTTATCACCTCCTCTGAGACCGCGGCCCCTCAAGGTCTCACCTTTTCGATTCCGAATCCCGCATTCCGCTTTATCTCGGCAATGAGTTCCTCGCAAACCTTCAGATCCAGGACACCCAGAAGCCGGGAAAAGAAAGCCCTAAACCCAAATCCCTCGAAAGTCCCAGGCAACGAGACACTGAGCACCCAGACCCCTCAGAAGTCCGAAGCACTCACCCGCCGTGCCCGAAACGCCAACTTCGTGCTCTCCATAGGAGACATCAGAAAGGCCGCCGCCAAGACCGTCGGCGAATTGACCCAGAAGCGACGGACCGACCAGATCGATCCATGGGGAGAGGAAACCTTGAAGAAGACTTGTGTCAGTTTCCCAGAGAAGCTACCCGAGATGTAAGGCTTCAAAATTCGGTTGTTTTGCATAAAATCTGTGTGTGATTTTGGTCCTCCATTTCCCGGTGGATTTTGATTTCTTTGATTTCTGGTTGGCTAATTTATGTGCTTATTTTCTTTTTAATTAACTGTTTGGTTGCTGAGAAAATGGAATTAGGATATTTATAGAAGTTGATCAATTTTTTCTAACTCGATCCATAGGAGGTTTACATATGGTCACTTGGCTCAGCTGAAGTTTGTTATGCCTGAGGTGATTGAAATAAAGAAAGTGCTTATTAAGGATGAGAGAACCAGTTGTCTGAAGCCGGATCTTCATGTCACCATCAATGCTGATGCATGGAGAGCGATGGAAAGTCAAAATCGGAAGGTGGTGCGAGTATGCATTTGAGGAAGTTATTTCATAAGTGGCTTGCTGATCTTTCCAAAATCCCATCCTGAGGTATCCCCGATACTCAGTTTCGGATATGGCATCACTAATATGGTTTAATTGTTGAGTGCTCTATGTAATTTTAATCGAACGGTAATCTGGGAAGTTAATGGTGTCAAGATTTTCTCCTCATCAGTTTAACATTCTATCTCCCCCAGCCATTTGGTCCTACGAAGCAAGATATGCGATCAGATACGGACAACCTTCCCTTGTCATCATCTCAGGGTGATGAAATTTCAGATACGGTCAAGCTTCCCTTGTCATCATCTCAGGTTTGATGTTCATTTTCTAAAACGGTAAATGGGAAGAGATTTTTCAATGTGCCTGGAACACTGGGTGATACACCACGTGTCCCTATATAAGTGGTGAGATTCTTGTGTTAAAAAAGTAATAACATAAAAAATAAAATTTCCCACCACTTATAGAATAACACGTGGTATACCACTTGTGTTACGGGTACAAAGAAAATTTTCTTGTAAATGGGAACTTCATCAAATAGGTTACTACATAAGTAGAGTTAGGCCTTGGGGGTTAGAAGATGGTTTAAACCTTTACATGCTTCACTTCCTTTAGACCCTTTGGGAATGTATAGAAGTTGGAACATCATAACATGTTTTCCTTTATTTTATTTTTATTTTTTTCAGTTTCGTGTCGATCAATTGTCATTCAAGATCACTGCATAGTTTTGATGTTTAACTGTGATTTGGTTTAACAGGCATCTTTCCTGTTACTGTATATGGAGCTTTCCTACCCCCGGACATATATTCTATCGACTCCATGCTTTGTTGCATGTATACGGTGCCTTTTTGGTGCTCCCTGCATGCTGGTCATGTGGCCATCGTTTGATGTAATACTAGCAGATCAGGTTTCTGTTGTCATCCCACTGCTGGAGCTTAAGAAGGCAACAAAGGTATTCACACCCATTTCGTACGAAGTGTTATCTGTTAGCATCTGGTAGTATAGTTGTATGATGCATTACATCTTTCTGTCCATGTTTTGTTTTACTGTCATTTTCCGGATTTATTGTTGGCTCAACACACGACTCTTTTGGTATGGATGGGTGGGGTTGCAGAGGGAGTGAGGGACTCTCAACAGAGGTCAGCTCCATGGTATGTTTGCTTTTTTGTGTTTTTGAATTCGAATTTTTGAGTTCAATTTGAATTTATGTGTGCTACAGAGCATGAGGGATGTCAGCAACATCAGCAGCTACCTTTTCCACTGGAACCAATTCTTCCCTTGGCCACAAAGCGGCGTGGTTTCAACAGTCAAAGCCTTGTGCTTTGAGGTTCAACTCCCAAAACCCTCTCAAGAGCTCTTCCAATGAGCTCAAGGCTACCACATCTTTCAATTGTGAATTAGGAACGATTCAATGCCTGATAAAATGTATGTTGAACTGATCAATGTATTAAAATACAGCATCAACTTCTGCAATAAACTGACTCAAATTTAGACTATGTCATGGAAGTATCAAACTTGGTTTTGACTGATTTTGGGTTTTAAATGTTTGGCTTAAAAAAATGCATCCTAGATTTTGGTGCAGAAACAATATCCAAATATTGATACCTTATACCGCATATATAGTTCGAACTACAATGAAGGTGTGTTCAATTGATTCAATATCGGTGAACCTACCCTTACCACTTCTTTTTCACTTACAATTACACTTACAATTACAATAAGCTTCTTCTGCTTAATTGTTAATTTAATTTGATTTGTCATCATATAGTTGATTAGTTGTTAATTAAAATTCAACCTTTTTACGTTAACATTTTAAGAATCCAGATATTTTGCCAAATTGCAATCAGATTAGGATTGCATATAATCTTACATGATAAATATTTTGCTATTTGAGTAATAGTTGATAAATATTTATATAATTAAGTTGTTTATTTTACCTAGACACGCTCGTTGATCACATGGGTTTTTATTTTTAAGCGAATAGAGTATGGATCACAACACTCATATCAGTTTTGAGTGAATGTGGTAATTGGATTTTTTATTTTGTGAGTGTCATATTTTTGTATTGATTTTCTGATATCTACAATATCCTCTAATATCTTCTCAAAACTGATTTTGCTCTTCTGTTCAATTATTTGCCAATTTCTTTACTGTTGTTCCAGTATTTTGCTAATTTTAAAAGCTCTGCATTGCTAATGAATATACCTTCTTTTATGTTCAGAATTTTGGGTCATTGCCGGAACAAATTGGTTACTTTGACATTTTGAGGTATATAATGTGCTATACATTTGTTTCAGTTTCTTCAATTAGATAAAGAGTGGATATGTGTTTGCTATATGCGAAGTACCTTTTTTATGTACATATCAAATCTTATGTCGAGATTGAAAGCTTTTTTATCAACAGTTGCATGGCTGGCTTTTTTAATTATCAGTTTATCCATGAATGTGAACTATAAGGTTTCTATTAATTAGAATTGGCTAATTCTTTTATTAAGAATTTGTTTTTACTCACCATATTGGCTCTTCTTCATATAAAGTTAGCATGAGTATGTAGAATGTCATGTCTGTGTGTCGTATGATTTTGCATGAGAATTACAGAGTGATAGCATGTTGCAATGGTCTAAATGCATCTTTGTATTTGGTCTGTGTGTAAAACTTAGTCCACTTGGTGAATGGTTTCCCATTCTTTTAAACTTCAGTGATTGAGTCGCGTTAGATTGTTGAGGAATTCATCAAAAAGGCTTCCAGATGCAGCTGCTTTCTTACTCCAAGGTTCGTGCATATTTCTCCTTTTTTTCATCGGTCACTTTTTTTTAGATACATTTTCTTTTCTGTTTTAAATTATTGTATTCAAGGCTGACTTTGTTATATTAACTCTGAAATTCGAACACAAGTTTTAAAATATAATGTTCTTTGGAACTTTCCATATTTCTGAGTATGCACTGCATTGATTAAGGTTTTTTAAATTCAAGGCCACGATGTTTGCATGCCCGCAATCATGTGAATTGAGGCTAAAACTGATACAAAGTTTGATGAGAGCAATTCAACCATTTAAATTAGTTTTCTAATCACATTAGTTACTTTGTCAAAAGAAAAGAAAATAGGGCATCTCTTTCATCAATCATACTTGACATGCATCTTAGTGTACATACAGTTCTCAGTTTTCTGTCTTCCTTTATTCTTTTAATTTTTGTGTGTGTATGTATTTATCTATTGCATACACACAGATCTCGGATAAAGCAAAGTTCTAGATGTTTTTTTTTTAAATTATAATAAACTGATTAGAAGAATAAACGTCTGTTGGTATTATCGTATTAGTGGGACTGATATGGTTGGAAATATTGTGTATATTTTTATGCATAGGCTTGATAAAAATAAATCCTGCACTTTTTGCTGCGATCAATTTTTCGTTTTTTGATTTGGTGAATTCTTGCATTGTTTTCCAATGAAGAGGATTCGAGCATTAATTTTGTCAGTAATGGTGAGACTACTGGTTTTCCAGTCACCCCACATAAATGAGCAGCTGAGTTATGCTTCTCCAAGCAAGAAAAGGCTGGATGCTATTAGTGGTTCTGCCAAAGAATCAAAACGCCAAAGAATCAAAACAAATTGGTAGGTATTTACATTTCCATGTATAGGATTTTGCGGATTTTATGAAATATATTGTTTGTTCTTCTCTCAGCTTTGAGTTTTATATATCAACTTACTTTCTGTTATTTTTCTTCAAAATTCATGTGCATCATTTGATTATTTGAACTTTGGACTAAATTGTTGAAGCTGATTTTGTCATGGATACCATGTGCAGTTTTTATTATGGATGCTCACACTTTCGAGCTGTATACCAGCTCATTGAACAAGATGACATCTAGCAGACCAAAGAAGCTCTCTCGGTGCAGCCTACACACTCCTCAATCAAATTTTGACGAGGAGGATCCAGTGAACAATGGAATTGGTGATGATCCAAAGAGAAACTGGTTTAATCCTGCTAAACACTGTATGTTGATGATTGCTTCAGTCAAAATTCAATATTTTCGGTAGACTAGAGATGGTTGTTAGAAAATGCATGACTGTTCTCTAAACTAAAATACACTTCTCAGATTGCTGTGGTTATTGGTTTGGATTTTCCTTATTTGCCTTGGTGCCTTTAAATTTTCAGGTGAAATTTTTTACACAACTTCATTACTTGCAAAATTTTGTTGAATCAACATTCAATACCCTTCCTTGGAATCAAGTTAAAGGTAGGATCACTAAATCATACTATTTTCATCGCCTCCTTATCCCCTTGCTGAACTCAATGGAGTGAATTGTCTTGATTTGCATTCTTGCATTTGAACTTGCAAGTCAGTTTATGCTAAATACTATTTATTTTTTCTCGTCTTAGATTCTACTGAGTTGCACCTTATTGTCTATTTTTAGATTTCATTTAGACTCATAAACTGAGGCATTATGTATGCCCAAGAATGAATGGAGGAATTTAAGCAACAATGTCGGTGGTCGCTTTTGTAAATAGAGTGATATATAAGAATGATCAATTAGCTATCAGAAAATAATGTGGTCTATATATGTAAATAGGACAATGTGGTTCCTGATTTTTGAATTTCTACGGGATTTGGCAAATTTGTCCATTCTCTTAGCTAATTGGCTAATTTTGTCAAGTGTGAAAATGTTTGCAAATTTGTCCATTTGCATTTCTAATTAATTTCCAATTACGTGTCGTGTTTGCATTTGACACATTTCCATGCCTCAACCGACACGCTGGGGCTGGACTTTGTTCAGTCTGTGCCAATGGATGGGGCCACGGGAAGACTAGACCGCGTCTATCAACATTGGCACCCCACATAGCTCTTGATTGAGTTGAAAAATCCTTTCCGAAATTCCAAGCGTAAAGAAAGGTTTAGAAACTCTGCACATCCGAAATTCCACCTAGTTTTTAGATTTAGTTACGGAACTAAATATGTCGGATGCACATGTGAGTCTGCCTACACATGTGTTACATCATCAAATTAACAGTTTTATAGAGTAATGCTATATGTACCATCTATTTGTACCATCTCTCTAATAGAGGTAGAGCCCACCTACACATGTGAGTCCTATCTCTATTAGAGAGATGAAACAAATGATGGTACAAATGAATGGTAAGAATAACAATTTTTAGTTTTTTGTGGAGTTTAATGGCATGAACCTATTTTGCACATTTTGATAATTCTGTCATCAAAGGTACATTAGGGTAGGCTAAATGAAAATCACCTAGTTAATTAGTATCAAGTCTTTGGTCAACAATGCTAATTACTATTCAGTCTTTGGTCGAATGAATGCTTTGAAGCAGCACAAATATTGCTTTTCTGGAAGAATAACAGAGCAACTCTGCTAAGCTTGAAAAATAACACTTACTGCTTCTTTTTCACTTGCAATTACAATAACCTTCTTCTGCTGAATTGTTAATTTAATTTGATTTGTCATCATATATTTGATTAGTTGTTAACTAAAATTCAACCTTTTTACTACATTTTAAGAATCCAGATATTTTGCCAAATTGTAATCAGATTAGGATTGCATATAATCTTACATGATAAATATTTTGCTATCTGTGTAATAGTTGATAAATATTTATATAATTAAGTTGTTTATTTTACCAGGACAAGCTCACTGATCCCATGGGTTTTTATTTTTAAGCGAATAGATTATGGATCACAACACTCACATCAGTTTTGAGTGAATGTGGTAATTGGATTTTTTATTTTGTGAGTGTCATATTTTTGTATTGGTTTTCTGATATCTCCAATGTGTGTGGGATAGAGAGGGTAATCACCCAATGTGTGTGGGATAGAGAGGGGGAAGCTAGCCAAATGTGGGATTCCATGGCTAGTTGTATCCGAAAAGTAGCAAAAGAGGTATTAGGAGAGTCCAAGGGCTTTGCCCCACACCAAAAGGAATCTTGGTGGTGGAATGAGGAGGTACAAACAAAGGTGAAGGCTAAGAAGGAATGTTGTAAAGCCTTATACAAGGAGAGGACCGATGAAAATGGTGAAAGGTATAGAAAAGCGAAGCAAGAGGCGAAGAAAGCTGTCAGAGAAGCTAAGTTAGCGGCTTACGACGATATGTATAAACGACTAGATACCAAAAGAAGGAGAGTTGGATATCTATAAACTAGCTAGAGCAAGGGAAAAGAAGACAAGGGACCTAAACCAAGTGAGGTGCATCAAGGATGAGGATGGAAAGGTTCTTGCTACAGAGAACGCGGTTAAAGACAGATGGAGAGGTTATTTTCATAATCTTTTCAATGAAGGACATGAAAGGAGTGCTTCTTTAGGAGAGTTGAGTAACTCAGAAGAGTGTAGAAACTACTCCTTTTATCGTCGAATCCGGAAGGAAGAAGTGGTTGTAGCTTTGAAGAAGATGAAGCATAGAAAAGCAATAGGCCCAGACGATATACCAATCGAAGTGTGGAAAGTTTTTGGGAGAGACAGGTATAACATGGCTCACTGACCTTTTCAATAGGATTTTGAAAACGAAGAAGATGCCAAAATGAGTGGCGAACGAGCACTTTGGTGCCTATCTACAAGAATAAGGGCGACGTACAAAATTGCATGAACTATAGGGGTATTAAGCTAATGAGTCATACAATGAAGCTCTGGGGAGAGAGTCATTGAGCATAGATTGAGGCAAGAGACACGGGTTTCGGACAACCAATTCGGGTTCATGCCAGGGCGCTCAACCATGGAGGCAATCTATCTCTTACGAAGATTGATGGAAAGATATAGAGATGGGAAAAAGGATTTACACATGGTCTTTATAGATTTGGAAAAAAGCGTATGATATAGGGTCCCAAGAGACATTCTTTGGAGGATTTTAGAGAAGAAAGGAGTACGAGTAGCATATATCCAAGCTATAAAGGATATGTATGAAGGAGCAAAGACCGCCGTAAGAACTCATGAAGGACAAACCGAAAGCTTTCCCATAACTGTAGGATTACATCAAGGCTCATCCTTAAGTCCTTACCTTTTTTGCGTTGGTAATGGATGAGTTAACAGGACATATTCAAGATGATATTCCTTGGTGTATGCTTTTTCGCAGACGATATAGTGTTGATAGATGAAACTCAGGAAGGGGGTAAATGCAAAGCTTAACCTTTTGGAGAGAAGTGTTGGAATCTAAAGGTCTTCGCCTCAGCCGATCAAAAGACAGAATATATGGAGTGCAAGTTCAGTGCAAATGGAGGCCAAAACGAGTTAGGGGTGAGGATCGGAGATCAAGAAATACCAAAGAGCGACCGTTTTCGTTACCTAGGATCTATCTTGCAAAAGAACGGAGAATTAGATGGAGATCTCAACCATAGAATACAAGCTGGATGGATGAAGTGGAAGAGTGCATCCGGTGTGTTGTGTGACCGCCGTATGCCACTGAAGCTCAAGGGAAAATTTTATAGGACGGCAATAAGGCCGGCAATGCTGTATGGCACAGAATGTTGGGCGGTGAAACATCAACACGTACACAAAATGGGTGTAGCGGAGATGAGGATGCTTCGTTGGATGTGTGGGCACACGAGAAAGGATAAAAGATTAGGAATGAGGATATCCGGGGTAAAGTAGGAGTAGCCGAAATTGAAGGAAAGATGAGAGAAAATCGGTTACGGTGGTTTGGACATGTGCAAAGAAGGCCTACTGACGCTCCGATTAGAAGATGCGACTATGGGACAGAGGTTCAGGGCCGAAGGGGTAGAGGAAGACCTAGGAAAACTTTGGAAGAGACTCTAAGAAAAGACTTAGCGTACTTGGATCTAACGAAGGACATGACACAAGGATCGAGCACAATGGCGTTCTAAGATTCATATAGCCGATCCCACTCAGTGACTTGGATTTTCCAAGTCTCCAACCAAGAAGTTTTCCTCACTCGGGAAATTAAGGGAACACTACCCCCAACCTACATGCTCCACTCAGAAAGCTTCAACATACAAGCTTCAACAAAAGAAAATTCAAAGAACTTAGCGAAGAAGGCTTTGGTGTATTTAACACAATACGTTGAAATGAAGGAAAGCTTATTTATTGATATCCCCCGATAAGCTACAAATATGTACATATACAGGAGTCAAAATAAACACACAAGAGGGAGCCTTCACAAAGGTTGCTTAGGAGAAGTCTCAGCAGTCGGTAGAGCCCCAGAAAGAGAAGGCACCGGAGGGGGATCATTTGGGAGCCTCAGTACTGGACATAACCCTAGAAGGAGGAGGCATCAGAGGTTGATCATTTGGAGCTTCATTACGCGGTACAGCCCCAGAAGACGAAGGCAATAAATGCCTTTGGAACAAACCCACAAATCTCTGATGATCAAAGTAAAACCTGACCATCAGTTTCCTTCATCTGGTCAAGCTTCCTCTTCATGTTTGTAGCATAGTCATGTGCGAGCCGGTGCAACTGTTTATTCTCATGCTTGAGCCCTCTAATCTCCTGTTTGAGACTCATCACTTCAGCCGCCAATGATTCAACTTGGCGGGTTCGAGCAAATAGGCGTTGTGCCATATTAGACACAGAACCTGCACACTGAACACTGAGAGCCAGCGAATCCTTAACAGCTAACTCATCAGACCGTTTGGAAAGTAGTCTGTTATCTTTGGGAGTGAGAAGGTTCCTGGCCACCACCGCAGCGGTCATATCATTCTTCATCACGGAATCCCCAACGGTAAGAGGACCAGTTGGGGAGACGAAGGATGGGCGCCATATGTTGTCTGGAGAAGGCGGGGCTGCCTCTTCAACAAGGTTCAAGTCAAAACGACGGTCGGAGGGGCCAGACATTTTCAAAGGTGTTGAAGAGAGAAGAGGTCGGACAAATCAAGATCTTAGAAGTGCAAGAATGAAGCTTCTACTGGTGGAGATTTCAAGTGTGCTTTGGAACTTAATGCCAAGCCCCTATAAAAATCTGCACTCGACGGAGCTTCAGAAATCAAAGAGGCGCCTGCTCAGAAATCGAAGAGGCGTTTGCTTTCTCAAAAGTTGGGCTGCTTAGAGAATCACGAGGGTTGATCTCAGAAATCGAAGAGCCGTTTGCTTTCTCAAAAAGTTGGGCTGCTCAAAGACCACGAAGGCCGATCTCAGAAATCGAAGAGGCGCTCGCTTTCTCAAAAGCTGGGCTCCCTAGAGACCACGAGGGCCGATCTCAGAAATCGAAGAGGCACCTACTTTTCCAGCCTTGTCAGCACCTGTCACACGCACACTCAGCTTTGCGGAAATTATGGGCATTCTGTCAAAGACTTCTGGGGAAGTAGAAAACACATGAATCTTACTGTTCAATCACCCACTTCCCACACGCAACAATAGCTCATGGGTACCACAGATAACTTTGCCAAAGTTCTCTGCCAAAGTTGAGCACGTGAAGCTTGCAGCTCCCACTACATCGCTCTGACCAAGAAGGGTAAAAAGAATAGCAAAGAAACAGCACTATAACAAAGTTTAGACCCATAAATTTTGAAGGTCTAGCTACCATATTATTACCCACAAGGGTAAAGGAACAGTACCACTGCTGGATAATTGGAAAGTCCATGTATGTCAACCTCTGTGCTTCGTGGCAAGGTAGACTAGCAAACATGCCCAACCTTTACTCACATTCGAGAAAAACACTCCCAATAAGATTGCTTGCTCCAAAATCGAAGAGGCACCGTCCTCCGAATCTAAAGAGCCAGACTCCCAACATGACTACTTTCTTAAAAATCGAAGAGAGGGTAAAGGAACAGTACCACTGCTGGATAATTGGAAAGTCCATGTATGTCAACCTCTGTGCTTTGTGGCAAGGTAGACTAGCAAACATGCCCAACCTTTACTCACATTCGAGAAAACACTCCCAACAAGATTGCTTGCTCCAAAATCGAAGAGGCACCGCCCTCCGAATCTCGAGAGCCACTCTCCCAACATGATTACTTTCTCAAAAATCGAAGAGACACTGCTCCCCGAATCTCGAGAGCCAGACCCCCAACATGATTGCTTTCTCAAAAATCGGTGAGGCACCGTTCTCCGAATCAATCGAAGAGGCGCTCGCTTTCTCAAAAGCTGGGCTGCTCAGAGACCACGAGGGCCGATCTCAGAAAATCAAAGAGGCACCTACTTTTCTAGCCTTGTCAGCACCTGTCACACACACGCACACTCAGTTTTTGCAGAAATTATGGGCATTCTGTCGAAGACTTCTGGTGAAGGAGAAAGCACATGAATCTTACTGTTCAATCACCCACTTCCCACACGCAACAATAACTCATGGGTACCACAGATCACTTTGCCAAAGTTCTCTGCCAAAGTTGAGCACGTGAAGCTTGCAGCTCCCACTACATCGCTCTGACCAAGAAAGGTAAAAGAATAGCAAAGAAACAGCACTAACAAAGTTTAGACACATAAAATTTTGAAGGTCTAGCTACCATATTATTACCCACAAGGGTAAAGGAACAGTACCACTGCTGGATAATTGGAAAGTCCCTGTGTGTCAACCTCTGTGCTTCGTGGCAAGGTAGACTAGCAAACATGCCCAACCTTTACTCACATTCGAGAAAACAGTCCCAACAAGATTGCTTGCTCCAAAATCGAAGAGGCACCGTCCTCCGAATCTCGAGAGCCAGACTCCCAACATGACTACTTTCTCAAAATCGAAGAGAGGGTAAAGGAACAGTACCATTGCTGGATAATTGGAAAGTCCCTATGTGTCAACCTTTGTGCTTCGTGGCAAGGTAGACTAGCAAACATGTCCAACCTTTACTCACATTCGAGACAACACTCCCAACAAGATTGCTTGCTCCAAAATCGAAGAGGCACCGCCCTCCGAATCTCGAGAGCCAGACTCCCAACATGATTACTTCCTCAAAAAATCGAAGAGACACTGCTCTCCGAATCTCGAGAGTCAGACCCCCAACATGATTGCTTTCTCAAAAAATCGAAGAGGCATCGTTCTCCGAATCTCGAGAGCCAGATACCACAGACCACTTTTTCAAAGTGCTCTGACAGAGTTAAAACATGTGAAACTGGCAGCTCCCACTACCGTGCTATGACCAAGCAGGGTAAAGGAATAGCATTACTACTTGTTGTTAGGGAGACTCCTATATATGTCGACCTCCATCCCCAACGGACAGGCAGACCTGCAAAAATGCTCAACCCTTCATCATATCTGATAGGGCACTCCCAACAAAGCCTTTCGAAATATTCAGCTTTCTTTCCCCCCGATAATACCTCTGCAAACAAGCTATACTAGAGCAAGAATATCTCATATCATCAGGGTTAAAAGCAAGAGTATCCCATATCATGCTTTTTCCCTGTTTTTTCTTTTGGCCTTGTTTTTACCGGCAAGACAAGGAGAAAGAGAGCAATCAGTCAGCACTTGGAATCAAGCTTCCAGCCAGGAACTGACTGCCTGGAACCCCTTACCTGATTACTTACCTGGCATTGCTCTCGAGTACTCATCTTCAACATCTTATGTTTCCAGGGAAGATTCCGCATCTGCTTGAGGAACAGATAGGGCAAGTGCGAAGGATACAAGGAAGCATGTGGAGACAAGCGTAACAGCACACGTGCCGATACATCCATTACTCTGTCAAAAGCAAAAGTATCCCATATCAGCAGGGTGGAACGTACTCTAGATTTGATGGACTTGTTTTGACCCTCAAATTCTTCAGTCGGCCTTATACTTTGGAGGAAACCAGAAAACCCTCCAGCTCAGTTCAAGAATAAGCCTGTGGAAAGTTACTTCTTCAAAAGCAAAAGTATCTCATATCATCTCTTCTCATTTTTTCTTCTCTTTATCCTTCATGCTGCTGCAAGATGGGGAGAAGGTGAACAAATCAGTCGGAGCTCTGATTGCTTACCTTGTCTGTCACCTCTTTCAGCAGACCCCTAGCCCGGCGACTTGGGGGACTCCTACTACATGGTTTGTATCGCGCTTGACCAAGCCTGAAACTACAAGTAAGCTTCAAGTGAAATTGATACATTACCTTGTGCATCTCCACCAGTTAAAGATACCACCCCTGGATGGAGGAAGAGTACTTCCAGAGAAGATGCCACATCTACCTATGAGACAGATAAGGCAAGTCAAGACGACACCACACTCCGATACTTAGAAGTATCGTGATTACGAGATCATTCTTCCACAATATTTCCTAATGTCATTTGTACTAAATCATTCACTCGTACTCACTAAAGGAGAGCTTGAACCTATGTACTTGTGTAAACCCTTCACAATTAATGAGAACTCTTCTATTCCGTGGACGTAGCCAATCTGGGTGAACCACGTACATCTTGTGTTTGCTTTCCTATCTCTATCCATTTATATACTTATCCACACTAATGACCGGAGCAATCTAGCGAAGATCACAAAAAGCGACCGTTTTCGTTACCTATGATCTATCTTGCAAGAGAACGGAGAAATTAGATGGAGATCTCAACCATAGAATACGAGCTGGATGGAAAGAGTGCATCCGGCGTGTTGTGTGACCGTCGTAGGCCACTGAAGCTCAAGGGAAAATTTTATAGGACGGCAATAAGGCCAGCGATGTTGTATGGCAGAGAATGTTGGGTGGTGAAGCATCAACACGTACACAAAATGGGTGTAGCGGAGATGAGGATGCTTCGTGGGATGTGTGGGCACACGAGAAAGGATAAGATTGGGAATGAGGATATCCGAGGTACAGTAGGAGTAGCCGAAATTGTAGGAAAGATGAGAGAAAATCGGCTCTGGTGATTTGGACATGTGCAAAGAAGGCCGACTGACGCTCCGGTTCGAAGATGTGACTACGGGACAGAGGTTCAGGGCCGAAGGGGTAGAGGAAGACCTAGGAAAACTTTGGAAGAGACTCTAAGAAAAGACTTAGAGTACTTGGATCTAACGGAGGACATGACACAAAACCGAGCGCAATGGCGTTCTAGGATTCATATAGCCGACCCCACTTAGTGGGAAAAGGCTTTGTTGTTGTTGTTGTTGTTGTTGTTGTCCATTATATGGACAAAGTAAATTTCTCCTATGTTACGTTCAATTATTTGCCAATTTCTTTACTGTAGTTTCAGTATTTTGCTAATTTTAAAAGCTCTAAATTGCTAACGAATATACCTTTTTTTATGTTCAGAATTTTGGGTCATTGGCGGAACAAATTGGTTACTTGACATTTGAGGTATATAATTTGCTTTACTTTGTTTCAGTTTGTTCAGTTAGATAAAGAGTGGATATGTGTTTGCTATATGTGAAGTACCTTTTGTATGTACATATCAAATCTTTTTTTTCATTGGTTACTTTATTTTAGATACATTTTCTTTTCTGTTCTAAATTATTGTGTTCAAGGCTGACTTTGTTATATTAACTCTGAAATTCGAACACAAGTTTCTAAAATATAATGTTCTTTGGAACTTTCCATATTTCTGAGTATGCACTGCATTGATTATGGTTTTTTAAATTCAAGGCCACGATGTTTGCATGCCCGCAATTCAACGATTTAAATTAGTGTTCTAATCACATTAGTTACTTTGTCAAAAGAAAAGAAAAAAGAGCATCTCTTTCATCAATCATACTTGATATGCATACAAGTGTACATACAGTTCTCAGTTTTCTGTTTTCTCCTTTATTCTTTTAATTTTTTTGTGTGTGTATTTATCTATGCATACGCACAGATCTCAGATAAAGCAAAGTTCTATATGTTTTTTAATTCTAATAAACTGATTAGACGAATAAACGTTCAACTTGGCTAAGCCTGTTGATATTATCGTATTAGGGGGAATCATATGGTTGGAAATATTGTGTATATTTTTATGCATAGGCTTGATAAAAATAAATCCTGCACTTTTTGCTGCATTCAATTTTTCGTTTTTTGATTTGGTGAATTGTTGCATTGTTTTCCAATGAAGAGAATTCGACATTAATAATGTCAGTAATGGTGACTACTGGTTTTCCAGTCACCCCATGTAATGAACAGCTGAGTTATGCTTCTCCAAGCCAGAAAAGGCTTGTCTCCATTGATGAAAGAGGCGATGAAAATAGCATGATTTAGTGATTTAACCCCATGTAATGAACAGCTGAACACAATGATGAAACTTTTCAGGTGAAATTTTTTACGCAACTTCATTACTTGCAAAATTGTGTTGAGTAACATTCACTGCCATTCCTTCGAATCAAGTTAAAGGTAGGATCACTAAATCATGCTATTTTCATCGCCTCTTTATTCCCTTGCTGAACACAATGGAGAGAATTGTCTTCATTTGCATTCTTGCATTTGAACTTGCAAGTCAGTTTATGCTAAATTCATAATATTTATTTTTTGTTGTCTTCAATTCTACTGAGTTGCACCTTATTGTCTATTTTTAGATTTCATTTAGACTCATAAACTAAGGCATTATGTATGGCATTATGTGTGTCCAAGAATGAATGGACGAATTTAAGCAACAATGTCGGTGGTCGCCTTTGTTAATAGAGTGAAATGTAAGAATGATCAATTAGCTATCAGAAAATAATGTGGTCTATGTATGTAAATAGGACAATGTGGTCTATGTATATATTATGTACTTACACATCAAGTGTGTAAGTAGTACCGTATGTACTGTTTTCAATCCCGCAGCATTGGGCGGACATTTTTTGCTAGTAATATCTATATAACACCTTCAAGGTTTTTCTGAATTTCTTTTGGTTTTTTGGTCGCAAGGTTTTTCTGTATTTCAGTTGCTTTTTATTATATGCATGTGTTTGTGGTTCCTGATTTTTGAATTTCTACGGGATTTTGCACATTTGTCCATTCACTTAGCTAATCGGCTAATTTTGTCAAGTGTGAAAATGTTTGCAAATTTGTCCATTTGAATTTCTAATTAATTAATCTGATTAATTGTTACTTGAAGATTTTGCAAGTGTTTTGGTAAAGACATGATCAACTCGGTTCACTTGCTGCTGCTGCTTGCTTTATTTGAAAATTACTCATTAGAGCATCTGCTGCACTCTTCTAGATCATCTTTTCTTTTTCAATTACGTGTCGTGTTTGTCGTATTTTCGTTTGACACATTTCCATGCCTCAACCCACACGCTGGGGCTGGACTTTGTTCGGTATGCAAATGGATGGGGCCAGGGGAAGACTAGACCGCGTCAATCAACATTGGCACCACACAGCTCTTGATTGAGTTGAAAGATCCTTTCCGAAATTCCAAACTTAAAGAAAGGATTAGAAACTGTGTACCTCCGAAATTTCACCTGGTTTAGAAACTGATTAGACGAATAAACGTTCAACAAGGCTAAGTCTGTTGATATTATCGTATTAGTGGGAATGATATGGATGGAAATATTGTGTATATTCTTATGCATAGGCTTGATAAAAATAAAGCCGGCACTTTTTGCTGCGATCAATTTTTCGTTTTGTTGATTTGATGAATTCTTGCATTGTTTTCCACTGGAGAGGATTTGAGCATTAATATTGTCAGTAATGGTGAGACTACTGGTTTTTCTTCAAAATTCATGTGCATCATTTGATTATTTGGATGCAAGTGTTTTGGTATAGATATGATGAACTCGGTTCACTTTGAATTAAATTTGCACTCTACGTTAGATTTGATCTCAACACATACTTTGAATTAAATATGTTTGACCCACATGTGTGTCGCATCATCAAACTAACAGTTTTTATAGAGTAAATATACACTTGCCATCTAGTTCGTCAACACATGTGGGTCTCATCTTTATTAGAGATGATGCAAATAGATAATAAGAATAATAATTTTTTTTTTAACGGAGTTTATCGGCATGAAACTATTGTGCGCATTTCGATAATTTGTCTTCAGAGTTACGTTAGGGTAGACTAATTGAAAATCATCCAGTTAGTATCAAGTCTTTGGTCAACAATGATAGTAAACAGCAACATCACCGTACAAATCATTACTGTTCAGTCTTTGCGCGAATGAATGCTTAGAAGCAGCATAAATATTGCTTGACTGGAAACACAACAGAGCAATTGTGCTAAGCTTGAAAAATAACACCATGAAAAGAGTTCAGATGCCTCCTTTTCTCCTTCATTTTTTCTTGCTTTCCCTGCTTCCATCAAAGGCCACCACCTCCTCATCGGGGACGCAGGCAGAAGCTCTGATAACCTGGAAGAACAGCTTCTACTTTTATTATTATTATTCACGTTCTTCTCTCGATTCATGGTCCCTCGCCAACCTCAACAACCTTTGCAACTGGACTGCCATTGTCTGTCACAGCAATACCAAAACAGTTTCCAAAATAGATCTCTCCAACTTAGAGATCGTCGCCACACTAACCGACTTCAACTTCACCCCATTTCTTAATCTCACTCACTTCAACCTCGGGCAAAACTATTTTGGAGGGCCTATACCATCTGCCATTGGCAACCTCACTAGGCTGACAATCTTGGACTTGGGCAACAACCTTTTTGAGCAAGAAATACCCGCGGAGATCGGCCTCTTAACGGAGCTAAAGCACCTAAGTTTCTACAACAACAGTCTCAATGGTACAATTCCCTACCAGCTCAGCAATCTCCAAAAGGTACAATTTTTGCATCTTGGAAAAAACCACTTGAAAACTTCAAACTGGTCTAAATTTTCAGGCATGCATTCCTTGACATACCTTGATCTTCATCGAAATGTTATCCATTCAGAATTCCCAGAATTTATATTTGAATGCCAACACTTGACCTTCTTGGATTTGTCTCAAAATTGGTTCACTGGCCAAATACTAGAACCTGTATTTACCAAACTGGGCAAGCTTGAGTACTTAAATCTCGCCGATAACCTATTCCAAGGACCATTGCCTTCACATTTTCCCAAGCTCAAACACCTCCATTTAGCACGGAACAACTTCAGCGGCCAAATTCCAACTACCATAGGTCATTGTACCGACCTCACGCACTTGTCCCTGGCTTCCAATTTTCTTAGTGGGGAGCTGCCACAGTCCTTGTCCAATCTGAACAGCATTCTCCAGTTGGATTTCTCCGATAATGTATTTACCGGTCCAATCTTGCCTTCCGTGATCTCCAATTGGAGTCTAGTTGTCCATTTGAATCTTCGAGGCAACAGCTTCAGTGGGAATATTCCATCTGAGCTTGGGCAGTTGATAAATTTGAATTATCTAGGCCTAGACTCTAATGATTTTGGTGGGCAACTTCCTATTCAAATTGGAAATCTAAACTTACTATACAGACTAAACGTGAGCAGGAACCATTTGACAGGAGCAATCCCTCGAAGTAACGGTAATTTTGCTCAGGTTTGTATCTCGATTTGTCCAATAACAATTTGACAGGAGTGATCCCTTGGGGTGTCGAATTTTTCGGTCAGATTATGTATCTCGATTTGTCAAATAATAATTTGACAGAAGTGATCCCTTGGAATATCGGCAATTTTGCTCAGGGTCTGTTGTATCTCAATTTGTCCAACAACAATTTAACAGGATTGATCCCTGCGAGTATCGGCACTTTCACTCAGATTGAGTTTCTCGATTTGTCTAATAACAAGTTGACAGGGGTAATACCACTTGATTCCATCAGCAATTTGCGCTTGAGATTAGAGATTTTCAATGTATCACACAACCATCTCTCAGGGGAAATCCCATCAGAATTTTCCAACATGGATAGACTAACCATCTATGACTTTTCTTATAACAACCTCACAGGGCCAATTCCAACTTGTGGCATTTTCCGAAATGCACCAGCTGATGCTTTTGTCGGAAACTATGGCATGTGGAGAGATGCAAAGGGAAAGGCTCCGTGTGATTCCTCCGGCGGAAATTCTGAAAGAAAAAACGACATCAATATTGTCGTTATTGTTATCATATTCTTTTTGGCTTTTGGCGTGGTTGCAACTATCATTGCTCTCTTTCTCTTATTAGTATTACGCAAGAGATCCAAGCTCCGGCCTCAGGAAATCAAAACTTCTCAGAACTTTGAGAATTTTGAGTCAATGATATTGCAAGAGGAAGTAAAGTTTACATTTGGGGAAGTTGTGAAAGCCGTAGATGACTTTCATGACAAGTACTGCATTGGGATAGGAGGATTTGGAAGAGTATACAAGGCAGAATTGGAGTCAGGCCAAGTTGTTGCAGTTAAGAGGCTTAACACGGAAGACTCTAATGACATTCCAGCAATTAATCTCCAAAGTTTTGAGAATGAAATCCGAACTTTGATAAATATCCGACATCGCAACATCATAAGGCTATACGGCTTCTGTTCAAGGAGGGGTTGCATATTCTTGCTTTATGAATACTTTGAGAGAGGCAGTTTGGGAAAATCATTGTATGGGGTTGAAGGGGTTACTGAACTTGGCTGGGCTACAAGGGTCAAAATTTTGAAAGGGCTTGCTCATGCACTTTCTTACTTGCACAATGACTGCTCTCCGCCAATTGTGCACCGCGATGTAACTGTCAACAATGTATTACTCGACCAGGATTTCGAGCCTCGACTCTCAGATTTTGGAACTGCAAGACTGCTGAGTACTAATTCATCAAACTGGACACATATTGTTGGTTCATTTGGCTACATGGCACCAGGTAATGAAACACTTAAACTTGTACATTTTAGGTTCATATTAATTTCAGCATCTTAAGATACTGTTTACTTTTTTTGACGTGCAGAGCTTGCATTGACTATGCGGGTCACGGATAAGTGTGACGTATATAGCTTTGGAGTCGTAGCACTTGAAGTGATGATGGGAAAACACCCTGGGGATATGCTAGAATCCCTACTATTGGAATCATCAAGATTATCGCTGGACAATGTAGGGTTGCTTTTGAAAGATGTGTTAGACCAACGGCTTGAGCTTCCGACCGATGAATTGGCAAAGGCAGTGGTGCTTGTGATGAGTTTAGCATTGGCTTGTACACGTGCGCATCCCAGATCTCGACCTCCGATGTCTTTTGTGGCAAAGAAACTATCAGCTCAAACCTTACCTTGCCTTCCTGAACCATTTGGTATTCTGAGCATCAGCACACTAATGGGGCTGGGGCTACAAGTTAATGGAAGCTAGGAACCGAATTCTATGTTTATTTGAGCCGTAAGATTGGCACAATGGCCATTGCTTTTGTTTCATGTATATCTATGCTTGAAGCTATTAATCATATATATATATATATATATATATATATCAACCATACAAAATTCAGTGAGTGTTTAATAACTATTTTATTTTTAGTTTGCTTTATTTTTCCTATTTGAGATCTTCTGGCCCACGAATAAAAGAAACATGCATCAATCAAACAGCTCACGTAATCAAAACCAATGATACTTACTAATATTATTATCAAACAAGAAATCCAAATAGAATAACGTATTTATATAATTCATTGAGATTTCCCTCCTTTTTTTTCGCCTGTGTTTGTATCAGATATTAAATAAAAGGAAATTTAAATTACAAGGGAGGAGAAGAGTTTTATTTTTTTATTTTTTATTGGTAAATTTGTTTATAACTGCTCACTAAATTGTTAATTTGGGACGTGAGATTTTGGACTCCGAGCCCAAAAAACAAACGAGTGCTCCACCCAGCCTACCTAAGAAAAATGCGAGATCCAACGGATCTGTTTGGCGGGAAGCGATAGGTCTCACTTTTTCGATTCCGAACCCCGCATTTCGCTTTATCTCGGCAATGAATTCCTCGCAAACCCTCAGATCCAGGACACCCAGAAGCCGGGAAAAGAAAGCCCTAAACCCAAATCCCCCTAAAGTCTCAGGCAACGAGGCACTGAGCACCCTGACCCCTCAGAAGTCCCGAAGCACTCATCCGCCGTGCCCGAAAAGCTAACTTCGCGCTCTCCATAGCAGACATCAGAAGGGCCGCCGCCAAGAGCGGCGGCGATTTGACTCAGAAGCGACGGACCGACCAGATCGATCCATGGGGAGAGCTAACGCTGAAGAAGACTTGTGTCAGTCGCTCAGAGAAGCTACCCTGAAATTGGGCTGCTATACAAATTGATCGTTTTTATCTCGAGGAGATTCACATATGGTATTTTTTATAGAAATTTTCTTTCTTACTTGATTGTTTGGTCTTCTTTTTTATCCCAAGTTTTAGGAGATTCACATATAGTGTTTTTTTTTTAAAAAATAAAAACAGCAATTGTCTTTTTAATTGACTGTTTGGTTGCTGAGAAAATGAAATTGGGATATTTAAAGAAGTTGATCGTTTTTTTCTAACTCGATTTTTAGGAGGTTTACATATGGTCACTTAGATCAGCTGAGTTTGTTATGCCCGAGCTGATTGAGAGAACCAGTTGTCTGAAGCCGGATCTTCTTGTCACGATCAATGCTGATGCATTGGACGGCGATGGCAAGTCAAAACCCGTAGGTGGTGGGAGTATGCATTTGAGGAAGGCATTTCACAAGCAGCTTGCTGATCTTTCGAAATCCCATCCTGAGGTATCCCCAATACTCAGTTTCGGATATGGCATCACTAATATGGTTCAATTTGTTGAGTGCTCTGTGTAATTTTAATCGAATAGTTATCTGGGAAGTTATTGGTGTCAAGATTTTCTCCTTATCAGTTTAGCAATCTATTTCTTGAACTACTTTCTGAATAACATGTGGTCTAACAATGCTTAATATGTTTTCAGGATTATGAAATTCCAGAAGAAACTCTCCCCTAGCCATTTGGTCTTACGAAGCAACATATGCGATCAGATACGGACAAGCTTCCATTGTCATCATCTCAGGGTGATGAAATTTCAGAACCAAAGCTTGATACCGCTTGTGCTTCATTGCGTGGCCAAGTGCCTGTAACTCCAACTGAAAGCATAGACGCTGTTGAAAATGATGATGATTTGCCCACAAAAAGTGCTAGCATTGAGTCGACTCCAACGAAGCTTGCTTCAACTCCAGCCAGGTTGAGGGCTGAAACGCCTGCATTGCAGCCTCCAAAGCGATGTTACATGAGCCCAGATGATAATGCTACTAGCTCACCGAACAAGTTGGCTATGCGTCCTCCAAGCAACAGGTCGTTGAAATTTGACACGCCCGTGAAGAATAAAAAAGTTGAGGATGAAGTTCCTGATAGGAGTGGCGCATCAAACGATAGTGACATTCATGATATTCTTCCTGCGGATCTTTTGCAGTCGGTATGTCTATATTGAATTGTCCATTCTTGTTTCCTCATTTAACGAACTTTCCTGCCCGTAATGTGTTTTTGTGCTCCCTCATTTTATTCGAAATAGATGCATTTAATTGTGCTTAAACTAGTCCCAAAAGTTATGGAGAATCATGTCGTAGTGGAAACTTTTACATAGTTGGACTGGAAGATAATGAACTGTAATTCTGAGACGTATCAGTGTATCTTTATGCAGCTTAGAGAGAAGGAGAAAAAGGCAATAGAGGAGCGAGATCCGGCCATCTCCCAAGCAAAAAGGCGGTGACGGATGATTTCCAGCCTACCAAAGCTCTTCAACTTGATTCATTTCCTACTTCAGTCTATGAACCGTTCTGTTATCACAAAAGAAGGGCTTGTTCACAAGATCATTGGACCAATTTCGATATTGTTGACAGAAGTAAGTCGTTAAACAAAAGAAGATACTATTTCTACGAAAAGTTATGGTGAGCCTAACTCTTTCTCCATTCTCTTGGCAGAGGAAGTTCAGGAGCATCTAAACTTGTTGCTAGAGCTGGTTCCCGATTGGATTTCTGTAGAGACGATAGCATCTGAAGCTGATTTGCTAATGATCCGATAAGTTTTCTTCATATTTTGAAGTAGAAATTATGTGCGTTCTAGTGGAAATGTATTCATCTTCCGTTGAAAAGATAAGAACCTGATAGACTTGTCTAAACTTTGCCTCTCTTGCAGCATCAATAAGGACATCGACTCCTGAGTCAATACGTGCACGGCTTGAAGCGGCAAAGTGAGATAGGGAATGCTAGGTTTTTCGATAATTTAGTTGTTCGCGTAAGGGGCATCTGAGTAGCCTGCGCACGTAAATAGAATCAAGGCTTCTTCCGATAATGTTATTCAACGTGTTCTTTGAATGAATGCTAAAATTTTCTGCAAGATGCACACTAACGACACGAATTCGCTAGTCGATTGCTACCGTTTCCTCGCACATGTCTTTCTGCTAAAGAATCCATTTGTACCTTGGTTCTCTCCTGCTCAACTTTAGCCAAAATCGGCTGTTCGTTATACTAGAACCAAGTGTTCTGAACAGCAGCAGCATGCCTTGTAATTGGTCTGGAATTCAGTTCAATGAATTTGTTGGATTCGGGCCTCGATTGAACACTCAATATTACCCACGGTGAAATACAAGTTGAACAAGCACAAAAAATAAAGATAGTAACATCGAATTTCTAGCACATCACAACTGAATATAACCAATGCAGCAGCTCTGGGAAGAATATCTATCATCAATACCAATAGTGATAAGCAGTTCAATAGAAACCATGAGAGAGAGAGAGAGAGAGAGAGAGAGACGGGGTGGAGTGGAAAGGGGAAGAGGAGAGCTCCAAAATTATCAATCGCGCACAGAACTACTGCTACTAGAATGTATCGGCACTTCTCGCAGAACTACTGCTGCCAACTACCACCAAGAATCAAGCAATCCAACCAATCTCAGGATAGTCCAACTCTTCTCGTGCATAAGGTGTCAGATTGGAGAAAAGATTGCATGCATGAGGGATTCCTGTGAAAGAAATTTCAAAATCTCTTGAATCTCTCATGTTAGGCCTGCCTGGACTGAGAACCACCATAGCCACCGGTGGCCTGTGAAGGGTCAGATCTCCACGATGCATTAGAGTACCCTGAATTACCATTGGTGTTGTCATAGCCGCTCCCCATGTAACCACGACGAGTCCCTTGTTGCTCTCCACCGTTAGCACTACCTGAGTTGCTTGTTGGGGTACTTCCACCACGCCCGCCAGAGGTCCCATACCCACCAGGATAAGAAGCGTAACTCCCGCCATAATTTCCATAACCATAACCTTGATTTCCATAACCAGAAGCCCCACTTGGTGATTGACCCCTAGGAGCAGAAGGAACACCAGTTCCACCAGGAGTACTCCAAGGAGCTGCAGCCCCATAGCCAGTAGCAACATACCCAGGAGTTTGGTTGCTCCAAGTATTTTTCAACGCACCAGGTACCCCACTAACATAGCCAGCATTAGGGGCATTTGGATTCCCATACGATCCTGCAGGACCACCAAAACCAGTATTGGCACTTCCATAACCACCAAGACCATAACTTCCATAACCAACCCCTGTATTTGCCGGCCCATAACCATAACCCGGTGCACCATAACCAGAATATGGAGGGAAACCACCTGCTGTAATTTGAGGCTGCACATATCTACTGCCATCAATTCGACCATCAAATGCATTTGTACTGGCCCCAGAGGCACTGTAACCTTGATATCCCCCACCCCGGCCCCCACCACCAGGATTTGCATCTTTAGGAAGTGCTCGCTTTACCTCTACAAGTTTACCATTCAACTCATGGTAGTTCTTTTGTAGTACTCCATCAACTGCATCTTCAGTGTCAAATGTTATGAAACCAAAACCACGAGGTCGTTGAGTATTTTGGTCATACATTATTACTACATCAGTCACGGTGCCATAATTTTCAAAGAATTCACGAAATCCATCTTCTGTAAGTGTAGAAGGCAATCCACCAACAAATATTTTCTTGGTCTTAAAATTTCCTCCCCCTCCAGAGCTCCTGGTGGTATTAAAGTTTCCGGTTCTATAGGATGTCTGTTGTTCTTCTCTTGATATAGCCCGTTTGGCCTCAACCTGTGTAATCAAAGTAAAACCTTTAACAAACAAAGGGACAAACAGATGTACAGACAGGGTAAAGATATACAATAAAGTAGCATATATGCTTGTTCATAAAGGGCAAGGAAGAACCTAATAAAGTAGCAAAAATCAGCTAAAAATTTTAGTAAAAACACAATAAAGTAGCACTTGAACCTCTCGTAATCTAGAAGTCAATCACTTTGAGACTAAAAGTTAAAAGTTGTATTTGGAAAATCGTACAGTTGAAAACCATGCCAAGAATGAAAAATATGCAACCTCCCTACGTGTCCAATTTACAAAGTTTCTAACCTATACCATCCAACCATGCTTAGAAGGAATACACGGTAAGTTGGTGTTGTCATGCATCCTACTTTTCAGGTAAACTACCGACATTATGTTTGACGACTTATCAAGTATTTTCCTTAAGGACATTACGTGTATAACTGCACATCAATGAGCACCCAGAACACAAATCTAGATAATAATACGAAATCCCCATTAAAAATCAGAAAAATGTGCAACCTCATCAACCAAAACAGTTGCTTAGACACATTACATCTTATAAAATATGTCATGTACACAAATCATAACGGAATAGATAAGCGAAGGCAACGTTGTTCTCTCCCTAACGAACTTGGTTTTCATCAGCCAAAGGTAACCGCATAACTGCAAGTACATTGTATAAAAATCAACACATGGAGCTTAAAACCAACAAAACTACAAGCAAAAATAACCGATTCCGGAATGTCTCTGGGCTAGCAGATGCAATCCCAACTTAAAATCAGCATTACCCAGTACACATTGCAACCTCAAGAATGCAAGAACACTCAAAAAGACAGCTAAAGAACATACAAACAACAACCACCCATCAAAATTAACATCAAAATTACCCAAACCCACAACACATTTCGACACGATATCGAAATCCCGGAACCAAAAACACTCGCAAAAAGCTAAAAAACAAGGAAAGAAACCCACTAGCCGCGAAAGTGACATGCAGGGCAAAATTGGAAGAGGAGAAACGTGCGAGAGTGACTGACCAGTCGACCGTCAATGGTGTGCTTGTCGTTGAGAACCCGGTCGATCAGAGAGGGGTCGGAGAAGACGACGAAGCCAAAGCCTCTGGGCCGGCCGGTGACCTTGTCGCGCATGATTACGGTCTGGGTGACATCGCCGTACTGGTTGAAGTAATCGGTGAGCTTGTCCTCGTTGGTGTCCCATGCCAGTCCTCCTATGAACAGCTTGCCTTCGTCCGAGTCCATTTCTAGAGAGAGAGGGCAGGAGGAGTCGAGGAGAAGGGAGGGAAGGGCTACTGGCTAGGGTTTGTTTGAAACGACACCGAATTGAGCACGTGGGTTACGAGGGTACCATTCAATATGTATAAATATTTTAAGTGGTGAAAGAAACGCACATGGGGTGGTGGCGCAGTTGGCTAGCGCGTAGGTCTCATAGCTTCTGAGTTATCCTGAGGTCGAGAGTTCGAGCCTCTCTCACCCCAACAACTGTTTTTGCTTTTTTTTTTCAATTCCTGTACGCGCTTTGGTCTAAACTTGTTTGGTATAATCAAAATATTCTCAAGATGAGCTTTATTCTTTGGTTGGTCATTAAATGCAAGTGGATAGGATTTTAACTTTTGCTTCATTGGCTACTGTCAATTGTTTTAGCACATATTTGCCATGTCATTGCTGATATGTTTGAGATATGATAAGTATGCCATGTCATCATTGATGTGGACAAAGTTAGTTATATTAGTTTGTAATGGCTTATAGTGTAAGATAGTCGAGGTAGCAACCTGGCTGCTCACACGGTTACCTCATTTATTGCCAAACATGGTGGTCCATTTGTTTAGGACGAGATATGCCCTGAGTTTTTATTTAATATTCTTGTTATGGATGTAAACATTTCGATTAGATTACAAATAAAGTCTATCTATTGACAAAAAATAAAATAAAATAAAAGCAAAATATACACAGAGCATTTTCTTCATTGTTCTTCTTCCTTAGTGTTATGTTCTCTCTTTCTTCATTTCCATACTACTGTCAAGAAATTGTATTCTCTACTCTAGTGCTATGGAGCCCCATTGCCACCTCATTTTTTAATGTTCTTCTACCAATGGTATTTGGTCCTCGGTGCTCAAGTGTAGTGTCCCTTGGCTAAGGCTACCTTTGCCTCTTTTTGTCATGTGGGCTGCTAGCCATTGGAAGGGAAAATTTCTTTCGTCGATAGCGTTGAAGTTATCTCTTGTTGCTACCATGCATTATGTATGGAGGGAGTGGAATAATCGTAGATTCAAGAATTCATATCAACCTGCTGTGGTGGTTCCCAACTCAATCAAGTCCACTATTAGATTTTGGTTGAGTTCTTTGAAAATCGCTCATTCCGCTGCTAATAAGTCTTGTTGATTTTCAAAGTATGTATTGTATTTTCATCATAAGATCATTACAATTGTACAACAATATATAAGGAGATTGACTCCTTAATTTACGCCACAAAAGGTGGCTTGGGGAAGACAACCTACAAAATGTGACTTAAGGAATTGACAACCGACAAAAGGTGACTTAAGGAATTGACAACCGACAAAATGTGACTTAAGGAATTGACAACCGACAAAAGGTGATAGCACAAAGATAAACTAGACCTATCCCCTTCCAATACGCCCCCTCAAGCTGGATCCAGGAGGTTTATGGATCCAAGCTTAGACAGAAGTTGCTGAAACTAATGAAAAGCAAAAGGTTTTGTGAAGATGTCAGCCAGTTGGTCAAAGCTTCTTGTATAATGTGTCTGAATCACTTGCGACTGCACCTGTTCTCGAACGTAATAGCAGTCAACTTCAATGTGTTTCGTCCGCTCGTGAAACACTAGGTTTGATGTTATATGCATGGCTGCCTAATTGTCACAAAATAAGGACATAGGAAGAGTTGTAGGAACACCTAAATCTCACAGAAAACCCTTGAGCCAGATCAACTCACACGCAGTTGAAGCTATGGCACGATACTCAGCTTCGGCACTGGACCTGACGATAACAGTTTGCTTCTTACTTTTCCATGTGACCAAGTTTCCACCAACAAAAGTACAGTAGCCAGTTGTGGATTTGCGATCAATGGTGTTCCCCGCCCAATCAGCATCATAATATCTCATGATTTATGTGTTGTCATTCTTCTGCATGAGGATTCCACGATCCACTGATCCTTTTAAGTAGCGTAAGATCCTTTTAACAAGGGTCAAATGCTCAAGAGTCGGGGAGTGCATGAATTGGTTCACAAGACTTACAGAATATGTGATGTCGGGTCTAATGATTGTTAGGTAGATTAACTTACCCACCAATCACTGATAATGGCTGATATCCGTTAGTGGTGTGCCCTTCAAGCTAGGTTTGTGCTTGTTGTAGAGAAGAGTAATGGCCGGTTTAACATCGCTCATGTTGGCTTCCTTGAGCAAATCCAAGACATACTTTCTTTGGTTAAGAAACAGCCCTTAGTGCGAGGTTGCCACTTCTATACCAAGGAAGTACTTTAATATCCCAAGGTCTTTAATTGCAAACCTTTGTCTGAGGGACTGTTTGAGGTTGAGGATTGAGCTTAGTTTGGCATACCAACACTAGTGAGAATTGAGCTTAGTTTGGCATACCAAGCTCGTGGAGACTGTTTCAGGCCATAAATGGATTTATGCAATTTGCACACCAAATTCGGTTCATTGCTTTGAGGATGCCCTGGTGGCAATTTCATATAGACCTCTTCTTTGAGATCTCCGTGCAATAATGCATTCTTCACATCCATTTGGTACATGGACCACCCCTTGTGCATTCTTCACGTCCATTTGGCACATGGACCACCCCTTGTTTACTGCCACGGACAATAGCACCCTCACGGTGTTCATTTTGGCAACATGTGCAAACGTTTCTTTGTAATCCACCTCGTATGTTTGAGTGAATCCCCGAGCTACCAATCTTGCTTTATGCCTCTCAATTGATCCATCTGACTTGAATTTGAGTTTATAAATCCATTTGCAACCCACAGCTTTCTTGCCTATGGGAAGTTTGGTGATATTCTAGGTGTTGTGTTGATCTAGGGCTTTAAGTTCTTCTTGCATTGATTCCTTCTAAACCTCCTGGTTGTTGGCCTCATGGAAATTCTGAGGCTCATTGTAACTTGATATGGTGCTTATGAATGCAGCATAGGCTGGTGTCACTCTCTTGTACGACACACAATAAGAGATGGGATGTGTGGGTTTGTAGATGACAAAGTCTTGAAGTCTTGTGGGAGTTTTCCTAACACGCATTGGATTACGTCGAGGAGCAAGAAGAGTTGTCTCACACTCGTTCACATTTTGGACCGTATTGTGAGGGTCATCTTGATTATCACCATCTTTATGTCGTGTACCATCAGAGTGAGACCCTTCATTGCTATTTTCATTGAAAGATGCATCAATGTTGACATGACTGGGATCTTGTTGTTAAGGAGCCTCAAGTTCGATTCTTGGTAGTGGGAACACACCCAAGATGTCATCCCCTTGACTTGTGATTTCATGTGACTTGCTGAAAAAAAAGATTAGTTTCATGGAATCAAACATCTTTGGACACAATCAATCTCCTTAGTTGAGGATTATAACACCTATATCCTTTTTGTGTAGATGAATAACCAAGAAAAACACATTTAACAGCTCTAGGATCCAATTTATCTCGATGATGAGATTGAATATGCATAAAACAGATGCAGCCAAAAACTCGAAGGTGTGAGAGATCAATTTTACTTCCTTTCATGACCTCTAGGGGAGACTTGAAATCCAAGACTCGACTGGGCAATCTATTGATGATATAAGCAGCTGCCATAACCCCTTGGGACCAAAATCTCTTTGGTACATTCATTTGTAGCATTAGTGCTCTTGTTTTTTCAAGTAGGTCACGGTTTTTGCGTTCAGCTACACCATTTTGTTGAGGTGTGCCAACACAACTTGTTTGATGCATGATGCCATGAGTGCTTAAATATTGTTTCATGATATGGGACATATATTCGGTGCCATTGTCAGACCTTAAGGTTTGAATTTTAGAGGAGAAATGGTTTTTTACAAGGTTATGAAAGTCCTTAAATACTTCCATAACTTCATTCTTAGACTTGAGAAGATACAACCATGTAACACGAGAGAAATCATCAACAAAGATCACAAAATACTTATAACCATCAAAAGATTCACTAGTTGGTCCCCATACATCTGAACGAACTAGTTCAAAACACTTACTAGCCCTGGACAAGGAAAAGTTAAAAAATAATCTAGTGGCCTTAGACAAGTGGCATGTTTCACATGAAATAGCATCCTTCCCTAAGTTTGGAAATAGAGTTGACAAAATGGGTGGAGAAGGGTAAGCTAAACGTTGATGCCACAATTGATTATCTTGAATGAGATTGAACTTGGCTTGGAACACTCTGGGATTGCTTTTTGATATGTAATAGAGACCTTCTAAATAAAACTCTTCACCAATCGTCTTCTTGGTGGCACAATCCTGAAGGATGACATTGTGAGGAGAAAATATAGCTAAGCAATTCAAGGTATTTGTGATCTTTCCCACAAATAGAAGTTGAAATGGGAAGGAAGGTACATACAAAGCCATTGATTCAATTTCATCTGACATTATTTTTATTTTTTCCTTTCCTAAAACCTTTACACTCTCACCATTTGCAATTGAAACTTGGGAAGGATTAGTGAATTTTCAAACTTTTAAGACTTAAACACATGGTTAGTCATATGATCTGTGGCACCCGAATCTACAACCCAAAAATCATTCAACATATTTATTTTAAGAGCAGTTTTAAAGGCTTTCATGATACCTTGCATGTTTTCTTGGGGTACGGGTTTCGTGTCTTCCAAGAAACCCGCAAACTTGTCGAGCAATGCCATCGAGTTCCCTTCTCATATGTTGTCTGCACGGTTAATTCCAGCCCCTCATTTCTTGCCTTGAAGGTACGACATAAACTCAATCATGAGTTTAGCTAGATTTGCTGTGAAGTTCTTGAATGGATCAGACCCATTAGAGGTGGAGGCAGACACGTGATTTGCTCGGTGTGTAGTACGATTCACCCTTTGTAAACCTTTGTTGTCCTTTATGAAGTCAGGCTTTAATTCTGGGTGTAAAATCCAGCATGTGTCTTTAACATGACCTATATTGTTGCAGTGTTGACACTTCAAGTTCGGATGCTTTCCTTTGTACTTCCTCTCGTTGGTTAAATAGGCCCTAGCCTTAGGTACACTGGCCATTATACCCATGTTCATGACTTTCCTCCTTACTTCTTCACATTTGATTGTTGCACATACACTAGTGAAGGAAGGAAGTTATGTGTTCATGAGTATGTGACATCGTAGATCTTCATACGTTGAATCGAGACTAGACAAGAGTTGAAATATCTTGTCTTCTTCTGCTCTCTTTCGTAGCAATGTTGCGTCGGTTGTATGAGGGCGATAAATTTCCAACTCATTCCACATGCTTTTCATGCTTCCTAAGAGTTGCACAAACGGCTTGCCGTCTTGTTGCAGATCGGAAATGTCCTTCTTTAATTGGAAAACCCTTGCAGTATTGTTCTAGTTGCCATACATTTCCTTGACCGCCTCCCATAGCTGGTATGAAAATTCAGAGTAACTGAATATTTCAGCTAATTTTTGTTCCATAGAATTCAGGAGCCATGACATAACTAGCTGATCCTTGCTAAGCCAGGATTCATAGGTTGGTGAGGAAGCATCAGGTACTTTGATGCGTCCATTTATGAACCCTAACTTGGACCTTCCACCTAGAGCCAGAGACACTGCTCTTGACCAAGGCAAGTAATTAAACTCATTCAACACGACTGAGCTTAATCTTTGATTCGGGTTGACATCCACCTCATGCAAATTCATGGAGGAAATCACCTGTGAACTTTCAGCTTCTGATCCTAACGAATTGTCTTCAGCCATTTTGAAGATTGAACACGCTCGGATAATAGTACAACAGAGGCAGGTTAGATTTCCTGCTCTGATACCATGTTGATTTTCAAAGTATGTATTGTATTTTCATCATAAGATCATTACAATTGTACAACAATATATAAGGAGATTGACTCCTTGATTAACGCCACAAAAGGTGGCGACAACCTACAAAAGGTGACTTAAGGAATTGACAACCGACAAAAGGTGATAGCATAAAGACAAAAGTTCGCACAAAGATAAACTAGACCTATCCCAATTGACAACCGACAAAAGGTGATAGCACAAAGACAAAAGGTGTTAGCACAAATATAAACTAGACCTATCCCCTTCCAATAAGTCTATTTTACGGGAATGGAATATCCCCTAATTCGTTAGTATTTGTTGTTGCTGCTTTGATCCAACGTTCTTGCGCTTGGGGATTCAACTCAAATTAATCATTGATTGCATCTCAAGGAAGTGCTCTCCCCCAGGGCAGTTCAACTCAATTGCTTAATGTTGTGTTTTCAGAGAAACAAATTTTGTAACGGATGTTATAACTAACATACTTTCAGACACAGCGGAGTGGATGGAACTCATGCATGATTTCAAGCAAACTAGTAAAATCACAATCCATAATTTCAAGCAAGTCTCCAATATTACAACAGGCAAGCGTCACACAAAAAACAACATCATAATTCACAAAAGAATTAAAAGAATAGACATCATCACCAGATAATAACAATCACAAACCAATCCTCTTTCCTTAATTATAAAGAACTCTCATCAATCATAATTCAGCAGCACCTCCTCTGTTCAAAGCTCTTTCCAACCTCGTCTCAAATGGGGTAGAATGCCAATTCACTCTTTTATCCTGCAAACCCGCAATCTGTTATCAGAACCCGTCAAGACCTAATCGAAACAGCCTCACAAATCTTACTTGGCATTTACCTCTCTGTATTTGCTGGTTGTGTTTGGTATTCCTTTGTAAGACGAGGCACCCGAACTCTTGGCAGCGGGAGGAGGAGCCATGTGATTCCAGTAGGTTCCGACAGTCCCCATTATGGCCATCTCGTCAGGGCTTCTACTTGGTGACTTCCTTGGTGAAGACGAAGCTGAAAACTGTCTGAGCTCTTCAACAGTTAATGCACCTAAAATTGGTCGATCTTCATGGCTTCTCGCTGAGTTTGATCCATGGGACGTGCTTTTCTCAGGCGTGAAGGTGTCTAAAGCAGTTGTGCTGACCTTGTTAACGGGTGTATTTTCTGATGAAAACAACCAGTTCGAGAGGCTAGCATCAACTGCCATTTCTTGGTTGGAATCCTTTGAATGCTTCTTGTCTTGATCAGTTTTCAATTTGAAGCTCAAACTTGGATCTGAACTGAACGAAATCCGGGGTTCTTGATCCTGTGTGAAATTCTCTTTCTGAGGTTTCATCAGTGGTGTCCCTTTGGCTTTGAGAGCTTTCCATTGTGTAAGATTCTCAACAGGGTTTAGCACCGAATGAACATAACCACTCCTATCTCGCACATTGTGGTCCAACCCAGCTGGTTTCATCGGCATTGGACTATCAAAATCCTCAGTCATTACTTGACGTGTAGAAACCCCACTGTTTGATTCTACAATTTCATCTTCGTACTCTAGTTCCCCTTCATCGTCATCGTAATCATCCTCATCTTCACCATCAACATCACAGTCCTCATCATAGTCTAAAGCTTCGTCTTCATCATCGCTATCCCTGCAATTCTGGTACCTATGCCTAGGAGGATATGACCCTGAGCTCGAAATGACCGAACTATCTTCAGAGGAAGACTTAGATAGGCACGGTTTTTCCAAATTCTTCCCCTCCTCTTCCTCCTTCCCATTCTCTTCACTATCCAACAAAGGATCCGGGGTTTCGTTGGTCGAAACATGCTCATAGGTCTTGACATTCGAATCAAAAGTAACTTTCTTTCGAGTACTGAAGCTCAGTTCCTCCACTGGCTTATCCCTACAAAGCATAAACTTATTATAACTTCATTTCGATATCGAAAACCCCAAAAATGAAGTGTATTAAAAAAATCAAACCGATGCAATTACATTAAAAAAAAAAAAAACAGTAGAGTGATAAACACAAAATTAAGAAGCAATTGAACCAAAAAAATAAAAAAAAACACGAAAGCCAATCACTCACCGGACTTCTTCCAATGCCGGGATAATAGGTTTTTCCTCAACCACCGGTGCAGAAGAGACGGCAGATTTCACAGGCCCGAAACTTGTATGTCTCTGCCAAAAACAAAGATTAATTCAGAGGAAATACAATCCAAAGACTTGAACTTTCAACACTTTTTCCAGAATAAAACAATTAAATCAAAATGAAAAACAAACAAAAAGAAAAAACAACTAAATGTAGCCTAAATTCATCAAAAACACTATATGGGTTTTACTCGGAAGTTCGGAATTCACTGGACTGTTTACAAACTAAACCCCAGAACGGAAACAGTAAGGAATCAATTTTCTTTCCTAGACTTTTCTCGGGAACCAAACTTACATGGTCTCTGTGGTGAACCCTGTACCTCTGATTACTCCTGCGGTTTTTGTCTTTGGAAGAACCAAAACATGCAAGAAAGCAACCCATGATTTCGATCTCTCTCTTTCCCTACTCTGTGGTATCCCAAAGATTGTGTCTTTCTGGAAAAGAAGAAGGATTTGGGTCCTGGATTTTCACAATTTCAAATCTCCATCTTTCCCAACGTGTGTGTGTGTGTGAGAGAGAGAGAGAGAGAGAGAGAGAGAGAGGGAGGGAGAAGGCCGTTGGGGTTGGTAGTAAACTTTTGAAGGATTTGAGGCAGGGGGGAACGGGAAAGGACAAAATGGTCATAAACTTTTGAAGGATTTGGGGCTTTTCGGAGGGGGCCCTACCAGAAGAGCACCCCAAGGGTTCTTTAATTTTCGAGAAAACAAAAGGGATGTGACCGTTAGGGTCTGTGTGTGAATCATCACCCAGCCTGGAAAATTTGAGATTTTTTTATTTGACACCGTGAAACATCAGTTGACTGTGGGTCCTACGTCTCCAAGTGTGATCCAATAGTTTAGAAATTAGAATACCACTTAAATGAGGGATTGACTTGCAAGGTGAAGCTTCAATTCTTTTTGCTTTTTGCTTTTCTTTAATAACCAAATTTTTTTTCTAGTGATATTCGATTTCGTGAGAGGTTACGTTCGATTTTTGTTAAAGATAAATTTAAATCACATTATTGTTAATCATTGCAGTGTTAAAAATATAAGTATCAGTGGAAATATCGATATGTAAATTTGTGGAAATATCGACGGATATACCGAATATCAATATCGATATCGGTTGCTTTTGATGAAATTGATGGAAATTTAAAATCAAACCTTAAGAATAGTCAAACATTTGGTTGGATGAAATATAAGAGTTTCTCTGATATTTAACAGATTTGTCAAAAATATCGACGATATCTGTTGATTTTAGTCTAAACTTAAGATTTTCTCCAATATGAGGTGAAGTTTAGACTTCATCTCCCATTTCCATATCTTTCTCCAATTTTTTGGATATTTTTATGAAAATATTAACCATATCAAAAAAAAAATTAACATGTGAGGCTATCGTTTGTTAAAAAATTAAATAAAAAACATAAAATACCAAAAGAATTTGGTAAACTTCTTTTTAGTAGGGTTAGTGGGTTAAATAGTTAGTTGTTAATTGGTAAATTTGAACGTTCTCACTTCTCAAAGCGGCTGGTTTGATTTCGTTTCGTGTATATGAAAACTGCCTAAGTTGAACGATCCTGGCACTTGTCACTAGGGTGCTTGGGTACTAGCGGCAACAGTTAGGAAATGGAAAGTACTTGTCGCAAATGACCCTAAAGAGCTTGATGAATTGAACTTAGAAGAGTATGCAAACAAAAGGGAAATAAGAATTGACGACACCGCATCATTGAGGCACTTGTTTTTATCTTCGTCACTCGTTTATAAAGAAATATTCTCTTATCAAACAATCTAACATGTTATATTATTATACTGGATCAACCTGAACTAATTTATTAAGTGATTTTTGTTATAGTAAAGGATTAAATAACGCAAACCCATTAGTTTCCATCAAGCAATGCGCCACGTTAAATAATCATCAAGCAATACTAATCAAGTTCAGAATCCCGGCCCCCTTCATATTCATAACACGTACTTTCTTCAAGATGAAGTTGATCCTATATATGGTCAGTGATGAAGGTCGAGAAAGCTCCGTTGGAGTCATACGCTGACATTGGCGGATTGGATGCCCAGATACAGAAATTAAAGAAGCTGTTGAGCTCCCACTGACACATCCCGAGCTATATGAAGACATTGGTATCAGGCCACCTAAGGAAGTCATATTGTATGGAGTGCCAGAAACGAGCAAGATCTCGCTTGCAAAGGCAGTGGCAAACTCAACATCAGCAACTTTCTTGCGTGTTGTTGCTAGTGAGTTGATTCAGAAGTACTTGGGAGATGGTCCAAAATTAGTGAGGGGACTCTTTAGGGTTGCTGATGACCTCTCACCTTCTATCGCCTTCATTGACGAAATTGATGCAGTTGGTGCAAAGAGGTATGAATATATGATGCCCATTCAGGTGGTGAACGTGAAATTCAGAGGAACATGTTGGAGTTACTTAACCAGTTGGATGGTTTTGATTGAAGAGGAGATGTCAAGGTGATTCTGGCAACAAACAGAATTGAAAGCCTTGACCCAGCCTTGCTTCATCCTGGCCGAATAGATAGAAAGTTCAAGCTGATCACAAGAGAAGAACTGAGAGGCATTATGTTGTAGGCGATTGGGTATATTTGAAACTGGTCCCTTATCAGCTGCAGTCACTTGTCCCTCACCGTTATCACAAACTGCAACTTCTATTGTCCTTATGAAATCATTGAGAAGATTGGAGTTGCGGCTTACAAGCTTAAATTGCCAGAGAGAACTAAAATACATGACGTATTTCATGTGAGTTGTCTCAAGAAGCAATTGGCTACTGGTGTGGCTGATGGTGGATTAATGCATGACTCCCCTTCAGCAATCATTGCTAGGAGGATGTACAAGAAAGGCAATGTGGCAGGTGTTCAACTTCTGGTGCAGTGGAATGGGCAAGAAGCAGCAGAGGCATCGTGGGAGGATTTTGATGAATTCAAGGCTCGATTCCTTGATTTTCCAGTTTAAACCTTGTGGACAAGGTTATTTTCTAAAGGAGAAGTATTGTAACGTACTGTGATTGCCCCAATCACAAGTAATAGAATTCTGGGTCAATTTGTAATGTTTTGGGGTTAATGTGTAATTTGATCTTTTGTTAGTAAGTTTGTTTAAGTGCTTCTGTTTGTGCCACGTGGCAGTCACACAGGTGGAAAAGTTGGAAAGGGATCCTCTCCGCATCATTTCCCCAAGGCCACAAATCCGGGCATTTGAAATTTAATCCAACGGCTATAAACAAGGGTCCATTTTAAAAGTTATAATAATTTTAGCCGTTTGATCAAATTTCAAATACCCGAATTTGTGGCATTGGTGGACTTGGTGGAAGGGATCCGGATCCCTTTTACGGAAAAGTTGGCTAGTGCTATTAAACCTTCTCTTTCTTATAACGGTTAGATTTGAAAATACAATATTTTACAACCTAAAAATATATTGTTGTATCTCCTTCCTCTCCCAACTCCATAGCTACTTGCAGCAGGTCAAGGTCGAATTGGTGACTGGAATTGAGCTCTTATTATCACCAAGGATGAGTTTTCCGGGGCTGATATCAAGGCTATATGTACTGAAGCTGGTTTGCTCGCTTTAAGAGAGCGCCGTATAAAGGTGACGCATGCGGACTTCAGACGGCGGATCTAGGATCAGCATTGCAAGAGAAGATATCACTATTGCGCGCTATACATCAGTGGTGGATCCAAGACCTGAACTTTATGCGGTCTGATACAAGTTTTTTAGATAGAAACAAGAAGCGAAGCGTGCAAAGAAATTCAATTTATTCAATAAGACATTTCATTAAACACTTGGTTGGTGGTTTTGTGCACATGTCAACAAATATCGACTTATACGATATCAATCTGATAATTGATATCGAGAGAATTTGTCGAGTGTTGTTAACGCAACATATTGATATATGCCTAGTATGCATTATATCAAGCACTTGGTAGGCACAAAAGTGACATGTCCCAAACATTCGAAAGATCTCAAAAGACTTCACATGTATTTATCCGAAATCTGAGTAGTCCTTAGACCACCTTGATCCCAGTGTACATCCACCTCTACCATACATAATGCATCCAGCCTCCTGAAAATCTTCATAATCTTCACCATGCATGGTTAATCTAGGTCTCTATTTTATAATACATTTTCAATTTTGATAACGTGTTGATGTAGAGTCGTGCGTAAAAATATGAACAACTTTGTAGGACCCGCATCTTCATGAATGGCTAACTATATGATTCCACGAAACTGATATTCCATAAAAAAAAACAAAAAACAAAAAATGACAGTAACATGAGGTTAATTCCAACTTCTAAATTATAATTAATAGCATGTGGCCTATCAAAATTAGGAGGGAAATAGAGACAGGTGGCGAAGGTGATGGTGATTATCTTTGTTTTTCTCCATTTAACTTTTGGTTAATTTTGATTTTGCATGGGAATTATCAAACTTGGGATCGTTTTCCAGATTTTAAGAAAGGTTGCTTGTCAAAAGAGAGGTTCCAAATCTTTCGATAATTTGTAGTTGTGAGTTTGTTCTTGTTAATTTGTTCAATAATTGGGCCTTTTCTTTTGCTTTCTTGTTAAAAGAATTTCATTAGTTTAAGAGGACAAAAGGCCGAACAAGTTAGGGTGGAAAATGAAGTTGGTCAGTCTCTAAAAAATTTAAAAAGTAAAAGTGACTATCAATGTGAAAGGAAAATAAATCTAGATTGTTGGAGCTGAGTTGGCAGGTTATTGGTTAACCATATACTTAACTGACCTGTCCCAGAATTTATAAATAGGTATGAAGAGCTTCGGATCCTGCAAAGGAAATAATCCAATAACTAAGATCAAGTGGTTAACAAAGACTTGCATAATTAAATCGAAAAACTAAAACGAAAGGTGCTCGAAGTTGACCGTATAGCGGGAGCATGGCAAAGGAGAAGGACACAATGAAATTATTAAGATCAATTCATACAATCTGACTTTGTGCCCTCGAGCGTTCTTATTTCCTTTCTTCTAATCGGAACATTATTAAAATTTAAAAATGCATAAACTGCCAACCGAGGACTTGATGAAATGATTGTGTTATGGTTATGACATGGTACGGTGAACAAAAAAATAGATCATCAGGCAGACATTTTAGTTGGACAGATGTATCAATGGATACTACAAGAAAAAGGCCTTTTTGCGACACGTTTTTTGCGTCAAATTACACTATCGTCGCAAATAAAAGGAAATTAGCGCGGTATTTGTTAGCGCGAAAATATTTGCGACACCACTATAAGTAACGTCGCTAATAATGTCGCAAATAGAAATATATGTCGTCTTAAACATATTGTTTGCGACGCCCCTAACGACGGATAGAGTTTGAGCGGGAACAAATTGGGCGCTTAGGGTATGAGCGCGCGCGCTCCTTTTTTCTTTTTCCCAACGCAGCCTTAGTGCTCTCCCTCAACCGTTTCCGTTTCCTTTTCCTTTTCTCTCAAAGATTCAATCGAAAATTCTGGAGTTGTATCAGAGTTACGGAGCACAATCAGAGTTCAGGTAAGCCACTACAACCATCTCCATCTTCTTTCTTTTTTGATTCCATAAGTCTTGCTAAGTGATTTATAAGGTTTCTGTCAAAGACGCACATATCTGCTAAATGTCTTCCAAAACCTAGGGTCTTTGGCATCCGGGATTGGGATGTCTTTCTTTTTTCCACCCATTCTGCTCAGAATCGGTTTGATCATCTTCCTCAGTACCTTGTTAAATCCCAACCCACGTCTTTGATTGCTAAGTGATTCCATAAGTCTTGCTTAGTTCTCTCCCTCAGCCTTAGTTTTCTCCCTCAACTGTTTCCGGTTCCAATTATTAGTTTGGACTGGACAACGCCTGCGTTCTGGGCTGCAGGTTTTCTTAATATGTTTACAGCACAAACAGAAAATTTTAGTTAAAAACAAACCCTGTTTTCTTAATATGTTTACAGCACAAATAGTAATTGATTTTTAGGGGGATTGTGCTTCTTGATAAATATTTGGTGTCTTTGCAGATACTTTATCTTTAGGGGGATTGTGCTTCTTGATTTTGTACGTGCCTTTATTTTTAATTCGTGGACATCTTGCCCAATTTTTTTTTTTTTTTTTTTTTTTGTAATTTTGTTGGCATTTGCAACAATATTTGGCTTCTTCTTCTTCCTTAAAAATATGGTGAATGATTAGAGTGTACCTTTTACAGGCGTTGCTTTTCCATAGATTGGGAAGATCTTGGAGAAGGCCCTCGCACAAGGTAAAGTGGATGATGTAGGATTGTTTTTTTGTGTGCTGACTAAAAGTTTACCTTGGAGTAATCTCTTATTTGTGACACTCCTTGAAATTCTGGATATATTTTCTTTGAGTATCATATGCAAAAGTCAAGTTGCCCAAAGTTCAGAGGATACATTGAATGAAGAATTGGATATGTATTTCGTATTTGCTACCCAAGAATATGACCGTTTGGATTGTTAATTACCCATTCCTAGCTAGTTCATGTGTTAGGTAGGTGAATGATGGGGATTAGTAGTGAGTTTATCTAATTTTTAAGTGATAGTTGATGGCAGACCTAGAGTTTGTCTAATTACCCATTCAACTCATATTATATAAGCCCACCTTTTAAAACTCAATTGCTTCCCTTTATTATTTATTTTTTTTAATAACTAGTATTATCATTATGAATGTTGAGATAACTCTGTATGTGTATCGCCTATTCCGAGCTCACACATTATCATGCGTTAATGCATATTCTTTTGTGTTAAAGTAGAATATTGTTTTTGGAATAGTTTGGATTGACAACTTATCTCATATTGCTTAGTGTTTGACATTTCTTTTGTAGTTCAAATATTTTGGATTAACTATAGAGATCAGATCAAGGGTGCTTAGTTCGGTATGTTTTATATCCTCCTTTTAAATAAAATTTTGATTAATTTTACTTACTTTCTTTGTATTATTTTCGGATGACATTAGGTATGGACAAGAGTTGGATAGATTTAAATGACAGGTCATCTGACCAATTTAACTATGGGCTTGAACATTTTTTGGAGTTTGCATTTGATAACAACAAGGGTCATACAAGGATTTATTGTCCTTGCAAAAAATGTTACAATCGGTACTTTGTTACAAGGGAAGTAGCAAAAGCTCATATAATAGTTGATGGGTTTATGCCAAATTATAGAAATTGGATTCATCATGGAGAAACAAACCAACCATTATATTCAGAACAAGGTATTGGGAATAACACTCCATCAGCTTTTGTTGATGATATGTTTGGAATGGTACAAGAGGCATTTGGCCATTCAAATGTGGATCCTAATATGGAGAATGATCAGTCAACAGAAAATGAACACAGTGAGGGGCCAAATGATGAAACTAGAAAGTACTTCAAATTGCTACAAGATGCAGAATGTCCTTTGTATTCGGGGTGTGAAAAGTTTACTAAATTGTCATTCATTGTTCGGCTATTACACATAAAGGTACTTGGTGGATGGACAGACAGTTCAATGACAATCTTGTTAAATTTTCTGAAAGAAGTTTTTCCCAATATAGACGTACCAGACTCTTATAATGATGCTCGAAAGATTACGGAGGACCTGGGCTTCACATACGAGACATGGGATGCATGTCCTAATCATTGTATGTTGTTTAAAAATGAGGATAAGGAGCTTGAATCATGTGGCATCTGCCACACATCCAGATATAAGAAATTTGAAGGCCAAATTAACAATGGTGTGAGTGGGGATAGAAAAATACCTGCTCAACAAGTAAGATATTTTCCATTGAAGCCAAGATTGCAAAGACTTTTTATGTCATCCAAAACTGCTTCGCTTATGAAATGGCATGCTGAGGAACGTATTAATGATGGTGTGCTAAGGCACCCTGCTGATACACCTGCATGGAAAGCTTTTGATGCTAAGTATCCAGATTTTGCTAGTGGAATTCGTAATGTCAGACTTGGTCTAGCATCAGATGGTTTCAGCCCATTTAGAACAATGTTCAAACCTCACAGTACATGGCCTGTTATTCTAATGCCATATAATTTGCCACCATGGATGTGCATGAAGCAACCATTCTATATCTTGTCTATTCTGATAGATGGCCCGCATGGACCTGGTAATAAGATTGATGTATATTTACAACCACTGATTGACGAGTTAAAGGAATTATGGCAAGAAGGTGTACTTACTTATGATGCCTCGATGAATCAAATGTTTAAACTACATGCTACATTACTTTGGACTATCAATGACTTTCCGGCATATGGGAACTTATCAGGGTGGAGCACTAGAGGTGAAAAAAGCATGTCCTTGTTGCAATACAAACACTCGGTCTCGTTGGTTAACTTACGGAAGAAAGTATTGTTACACAGGTCACCGTCGATTTTTACCTACAAGTCATAAGTTTCGAAGAGATAAAGTGTCTTTTGATGGCACACGAGAATGGGGACGTGCTCCACAAAAAAATTTCAGGTATTGATGTGAAAAGACAGTTGCTAGGAGTACTTACAGAGTATAAGAAAGATGATCTTAGAAAGAGGAAAAGAGATGAAGTTGGGAGTAATAATCATCGATCATTTTGGAAGAAAAAAAGCATATTTTTTGAGTTACCGTATTGGGAGCATAATTTGATTCGTCACAATCTCGATGTCATGCACATTGAAAAGAATTGTTGTGAAAATATCCTTTGGACAATATTGGGTGTTGCTAAAAAAACTAAGGACAATTTGAAAGCTCGACGTGACTTAGAAGAAATGGGCATTAGGAAACCATTGCACCCTCAGCAACGAGGTTCTAATAAGGCATACTTAGCTCCTAGTTGTTTTACTATGACTAAAGACAATAAAGATGTGTTCTTAAAAGTTTTGATGCAAGTAAAGGTTCCAGATGGTTATGCTTCTAATATTTCTCGACATGTACACATGAAGGAGCGGAGTATTTGGGGTCTTAAGAGTCATGATCATCATATATTAATGCAACAATTACTTCCTATAGCAGCACGCAGAGCATTGCCTAAGAATGTTGTTGAAGCATTGATTGAGTTCACTAATTTCTTCAGACAACTTTGCTCGAAAGTGAACGTGCAGTCTGATCTGGAACATATTCAAGAGCGAATTGTGCATACACTTTGCCATTTTGAGAAGATTTTTCCAATGTCTTTCTTTGACGTAATGGAACATTTGCCTATCCATCTAGCTGAGGAAGCATTGGTTGCTGGGGCTGTCCAATTTAGATGGATGTATCCTATTGAGAGGTTAGTAAAATTGTAGTTGTAATTTTTATTACATTAACTACTTTCATTAGATTATATTTTAATTATAATACACATAGGTACTTATTAACACTGAAGTGTTATGTGCGTAATCGTGCGCATCCTGAGGCCTCCATTGCCAAGGGTCGCTTAATGGAAGAATGCATGACTTTTTGTGCCCGATATTTGAATGAAGTAGAAACAAAGCTTACTCGTCCAGCTCGTAATGATGATGGTGGTAGTGACTATGGTCGTCCGCTCACCAAAGGAGTTAAAATACGTCTAGATGAAGTTACATGGACACAAGTACATAGGCACGTGCTAGTCAACACAGATGCTATCACACCATTTCGAAAGTAAGTGAAAGCACAATTATATTTATTACTTTGAATGCTTCTTAATTCACTTCTTTCTGAACAAATCTCATATACACAGCCAACACCTTGAAATACTTGCATTGGAAATGCCTCGTAAAACAAGTCATTATATCAGAAGAGTTCACACTGAGACATTTCACATATGGTTTAAAAATTATGTAAGTACTTACAATCATTAGATCTATAAATTTAATGTAGGCCAATCAAATTAAAATTTTCTTCTCTCTGACTTCTTTATAATAATGATATTATATAGGTTGATACACAGCGGCTAACTAATAATGAAGTATTTTCTGAAGACATCATCACTTTGGCTAATGGTCCTGACCAATTTGCACGAAGATATAAAGGTTATGTCATTAATGGCTCCAAATTTCGTACGAAAGAAAGCGAAAAAAGTAGAACCACTCAAAATTCTGGTGTTGTATCGAAAGCAGACACTATGAGCTATGCTACTGTTAAGGACAAAAGGCCTTGCTCAGGTGATGTCACCTATTATGGAGTGTTGAAAGATGTGGTTGAAATCCGATATACCAATGCCTTGAAATTTGTTTTGTTCAAGTGCGATTGGGTTGATGCAATTGGTGGAATGAAAGAAGATGAGTTTAGATTCACATTAGTGAATTTTAATCATCTGTTATACAAAGATAATGTTGTAGGGGACGAGCCTTTCATTTTAGCACGAGATGCAAAGCAAGTTTGTTACATACAGGATCCAATTGATTCAGATTGGCATGTTGTTGTTAATGTGACTGTAAGAGATATATTTGATATGCGTTCAAAGGATTCTTCCCACACCCCAACAATAGTGCCTCAAGTAGAGCTCTATGCACCCCAACAATTGGATGAAACTGTATTTATGAATGATGAAGATGTTGGCTGGGTCAGGGAAGGAGTGGATGGAGCAACCGTAGACACAAATGTTGAAGAAGTTGATGATCCTCCTGAAAATGAGATGGAAGAATGATTGGCCATATAGTGTATTAGTTAGTGATTATCTTGGAAATTCTTGTTATCAAGTGACACTATTTTGGAAATTCTGATTATATTAGTTACTTTATTACTTCTAATTGACTATGTTTATCAATGCATGTCTTCTTAAAATAGCTTATATATAAATATGTTAGATTAATAATCGTGCACAGGGAGTAGCATTTGATAAGGTACTTGGTAGGTACTCGGTTACATATTATGAATTATTTACATCAATCTTTTATGATGATTCATCGTGTGTGTACTAATTTTTTTAGTGCAACAGAAAATGGCACCAAAGAGGGGAAGAGGCAAAGCAATGGAGGAATTGATTCCCCCATCTCCAATGAGAGCTAAAATGGGTAGGTCACAAGCACGACCATCTCAGCAGTGTGGACAAAGTTCGAGTCAGCCTCGGTTATCTAGGCCATCTCAGCATATCACATTGAATCAAACTCAACAACAGCCACCAATTACAAGGCGCACACAGTCTCAATTAGAGACACAACTACAACAAAATCCATCTGCCTCTAGTTGTGGGGATGAGCCTTTGGCAACTCCATTAAACAAAACAGGTTTGTGCTAAAGGACCATTAATTTTTCTAGTTTTTTATTCAATCATTCAAATTATATTTTGCTTATAATGAATAATTTATAGGTGAAAATCAATCTGAAGGTATTAGGAAGGGTCGAGGAGCTGCTCTTTCTATCTCAGAATGGGGAACTGGAACAAAAGTTCATATTGATTTTGATTCTAAATGGAAGCCAATCAAAGAAAATGCAACCAGGTTTAGTGGACAACTTGGAATTATAGCAAGAAATGGTCAAAGGGTTCCTCTAACATATGTTTCATGGACTGAAATGCCTGATCATGTATTAGATGATATTTGGAAAGAAGTCACGGTAAATAACACTTACAAAATTTACTAATTTTACTCAGATGCACAAGTCTTCATTTCATTAATAGTTATCATCTAATAATTGCAGGATAACACAGATGTCCCTGATGCATATAAATTTCATTGCTTAAAGGTTATTGGCAATAGATGGAGGGATTGGAAGTGTCGGGTTAAGCAAAGATGGTATGACGCATACTTGACCGATGAACAACGATTATCCTTCACTCCTCCTCAAGTCACTACAGATCAATGGAAGACACTAGTAAAGTATTGGGGCCTCCCTAATATAAAGGTAAATTAGGAAAAATTACATTTTAAGTTTATAATAGTGATGAATTATGGTTGCTTTAAACATGTGTAGGAATATTCTGAGGCAAATAAGGCTAATCGTGCACATGGAGGTGCTCCTCATCGGACTGGTCGTACTTCATTTGCTCAATTGAAACATGAGGTCAGAACACTAGTTTTGCAGTGAGTAATAAGTGATAATAATTAACAATAGGACTAATACTAATAGAAGCAGGGGATGTATATATATAAACCATGCTGGAAAACTGGAATGGTATCATTTGTACCAGGTCCAATTTGAATACGGCATGATGGAAATGCTGGAAAGTTTTTATTTTCTCCATTTAACAATTTTCATTACTAACTTGATTAAACATTGTGTGCTTTTAAGATGAGAGAGAAGGGAGAGAAAACGGATCGGTTGAGCATGTTTATAAAAACAAGAACAAAGAAAACAAAGAATGATGACAGAGACCTTTTCGATGAGGAAAGTGGCCACATTATTGTAAGTATCAGTTAGGTTATATATTTTTCACTCAAAGTAAAACTTTGCATATTCACATCGTTTTGATTAGTTGGGTTGTGCATTATTTTTATCTTTTGGTCATTTGAATTGGTTGGGTCATGTTCTGTAGAATCAATTTAATCAATGCTTGGAAGAAAGGGAAGAGCATGAGCAAGACGAGGATTATCGAGAGGAGGTGTTTACTAGAGTTATGGGACCTGATGCATATGGACGTGTTCGCATGTATGGAACAGGTATAACTCCATCTCAAGTGTGTTTTGTCAAAGTTCAAGATCTTCCAATGTTAATGAGGACACCATACGAGAAGAGGTAGAAAGACAATATAAGACTAAGATAGATGATCTTAAGGCTAAGCATGAATCTGAAATTGAAGATCTCCGATCCAAGTATAGTGAAGTCAGTTCGAAACTCCATCTCGTGATGACTCATATTGGTTTCCATGTTAACACATCACCAAGTGGAAGTGGACAGGTATATACATTCGAATGTGATTTTGTTCTCTTTTCAATTTATTAGAGAATAAATTAGTGTGAAAATTTGAGCAATTTTGATTTCTATTTGTCGTGTTTGGTGTTAAATATAGGCTCCAAATACATCAAGCCATCTACAAGAAACATATGGGAGTAATGAGCAACAACCTCAGTTAGACCCAGAACCATAGAAACAATTGCTTCATAAAAGGTTTGTAAAGAAAACATTATACTAAAGATTAAACTTTTAATTGACACATGTTATTGATGGCTGTGTAATTCTTATTTTTCAGGTTTGCATGGAGATTGTGATGAAGAGTCTTGATCATAATTAAACTCTTGAATATGTTGGAGCATATTTGAAAAAAAAAAATTATGTTCATAACTTTTGAGACGAGATTATTTATATTTGACTCTAGTAGGATTATATGTATTGGGATATGCGGATGGTGTACTTTCTATGTTATTAGGAATTCTAAAAGCATAGTTCTTTTTGATTCATATATTATTTTACTTTTGAACTTGGGATGATTGTGAATAAGATTATAAATTGCAAACTAATCTTTCATTGAACAAATATCATTTCCAACCATTTTGTATTTATAACAAAAAAATTGTAGGGATAAAAGCATTTACGACGTGTCAAACATGTCCCAAATATTTTGTTTAATTCCACCATCAAAGCCATTGCGACGCTAACTATTGTGTCGCAAAGCTGTCGTAAAAGAACTTCGCGACGCTTGAAATGTGTCGCAATAAGTTGTGAAAACTTTTGCGACATGGGTTTGTTGCGACGCAATCACAAGTGTCGCATGAGCGTCGTTAAAACGCATAAACGACGCTTTCATGACTTAACACGACGAGTTTTTAGCGTCGTATTTAGCAAGTTTTTTTGTAGTGAGGTGCTCCAGAAGATTAAAGTTAATGCATTTGCACGAAGTATTCATCAGAGGAACTCACGTTGTTTGTTGCCCGAAGCCTGCCAGATTTTGGGCCATCGCAGCATCCATAGTTATCAAGACTAGCTTCATATGGTTCTTCATTCACATGACCTGTGGCTTCCATGCATGCTTTTACAGTTTTACCCCTACACCCATCAATAAACAGAAGAAAACAAGGGAAAGATAGGTTAGGTACACAATTATAAAACACCTCGGTAAAAAAGTAGACAATTATAAACAGAAAACAAGGGAAAGATAGGTTAGGTACAGTTTTACTTGTGCTGCAACATAGGTGAATATGAAACGAGCTACTTAAATTACAGCTTCAAAATATGTTGCGGCACCTAACAAGAAAATTTCTAACTCGTAATTCATTATTCAAGCAAAGGAAGAACAGATAAACCCCAATTTCTAGAGCTTTGAAATCAGCAATCATGTGCTAAAAAAAATAGACCCAAACTATTGATACCTCGCCAAATCATTTGAAAATGAATATCGACGGAGCTTGGATTATGGCCAAGGATCTGGGTGGCTTCGGGGGAATTGTGGGTGATGAAATGGGCTGTTTCTTGGCTGCAAAATGCTGTCACTTTGTCGATGTCTTCTCTCCCCTACAAGCGGAAGCCATGGCAATTAGAGAAGGTTGGTTTGGGCGGTATCTCGGGGATATCAAAACATTTTATTTGAGTCCGACTTGCTTCGGATTGTGGACGCCTTGAAAGATACTTCCACCAACTTGTCCTTGGTTGGCCAGGGTGTCGAAGATATCAAGGCCCTTCTCTCTTCAATATGAAGCTTCATTCACCCATACACGTCACGAAACCAACGGAGTTGCTCACCGACTTGCTCGAATTGGTGTTACTTCTAGTCAATTTAGCGAATGGTAGACTCCCCCCAAGTGTAATCGTTGATTTACTCGTTGAGGATACTTTATCGCCTTAGTTGGCTTTTTGTAATACCTCTATTATATCAATCTGAACTAATTTATTAAGTAATTCTTGTTATAGTAATAGTAACGGATTAAATAACGCAAACCCATGTTTTTAACTAGTTTTGGATAACCCTAATCATATAATTTCTTAGTTTTCATCAAGCAAGGCGCCACATTAATAATCATCAAGCAACACTAATCACATTTCAAAATCACCTTCAGATTCCTAACACTATCATGGTCATCAGCCTCCCAATCCATGACCGCCTCTTCGTTCCATTAGTCCGGCATTACACCAAAAACCCTAGAGGAATCACAAAGCTGAAAAGAATGGGAGTTGGGTTGTGATGCACATCATGATCATGGTCATTGCTTGTTTGTTTGTCCGAAATTAAAAGGCTGTTCAGCATCATCTTCCGGAAAGGCGAAAAATCTTATGCACTTATTTTGTGTGTGGTCTCTATCATTGATTGACACATATTAAGTTTATGACAACAAAGTTAAAATAAACCAAGTTTATTATTACGTGTTAATCAATGATAGAAGTCACATAGATGTCATACACAAAGTCACAAATTTTCATTCTATTGCCACAGTTGGCTTTGATTCCAAGAGCTGAGCATGGATAATGAGATGTTTAAAACATATCATTTATTTTTGGTCAATGAAAACCCTATTAAGATTTTCATGGCGCTAGAAACCACTTTCTCTTGTGAAACTTTTAGTAGTTAGACTGCGGACATATGTTATAGAAGTGAGATCCATATATCTAAAACTCATCTATGCTAACATGTCTTATCTAAAGAAAAAATATGCTTCATATGGGTCAACAACGATTATTCTTTTATTAGTCATGTGATGAGTATTGCAGACACGTAAATTTATGATTGTAGGCTATAAAAATGGATCAACGTCTGCCCACCATACGTTAGATTCTTACTATCATAATGTATCCAGCACCCTCCTGAAAATCTTCAGAATCTTCACCGTGGCTAATCTAGGTCTCTATTTTATAATACATTTCAATTTTGATTACACGTTGATGTGGAGTGATAGATAAAATATGAACAATTTTATAGGATTCGCATCTTCATGAACGGCTTAACTGTATGATTCCACGAAAATGATATTCCATAAAAAACAAAGAATGACAGTAACATGAGGTTAATTCCAACTTCTAAATTACGATTAATAGCATGTGGCCTACCAAAATTAGGACGAAATTACAGACACGTGGCGAAGGTATGATGATTATCTTTGTTTTTCTCCATTTAACTTTTTGGTTAATTTTGATTTTGCATGGGAATTATCAAACTTGGGATCGTTTTCCAGATTTAAAAATGAGGCTGCTTGTCAAAAGAGAGGTTCCAAATCTTTCGATAATTTGTAGTTGTGAGTTTATTCTTGTTAAGTCGGCCTTCTCTTTTGTTTTCTTGTTTAGGGTTTCATTAGTTTAAAGGACAAAAGGCCTAACATGCTAGAGTTGAAAATGAAGTGGGGCAGTCTAAAGTAACATTCGTTTTTAATCTAACAGCTGATTCATTCACTCGACACAAACAATAATAAATTTAATATCATACATACATTTAAGAAATTAATAATAAATTTAGTATCAAATGTACATTTAAGTAATTTAATTTCTTTGCGTATTTCACACGGTTGATTATGGGTTTGAGTTCTAGCATAGGTGAATCACACTATATTGGCAAGAAAATGATGAATGCCTCAGTGCGTCTTCTCAACCCGCGGAAGAATAGTAGGAGGAATGCGGTCTTAAAGAAATGCCACTAATAGTCAGAAAGAGACTTAGCAAGAATTCGAAAGTTGGGATGGAGCCTTAGCCTTTCACTAATAGATAGAAAGAAGTGTCATAGTTGCTCAACCTAACTATGCAAATATTTACACGAATTTTTTTAGTGTGATGCTGAAATTTTGTCATATAAAAATTAGATTTTTTTTACTAATCGATAAATTGAATTTTTTTTATTGTTGTCTTTAGGATTTTTGTTTTTTTTTCTTTAAAATAATGCTGAATAAGTAATTTTCTGATTCAAGGGAGATTAAATTTTGAGGGACTTATTTGTTAAAAGTAACATTGTATAAGAAATAATTATACATTAAACTATTGCTAGCTGTGACTATCATGTGAAAGGAAAATAAATCTATATGTTGGAGCTGAGTTGGAAGGTTATTGGTTAACCTTATACTTAACCGACCTGTCCCAAATTAACTTTATAAATAGCTATGAGCTGATCACATGACTTTCAAAGCCCCCAAGTCCATATTCATTTCATCAAACACTTGATGGCAAAGGTTGAAGAGAAAGGCTTAGAAGACGATCACACACAAGATGGGACTGTGGATCTCAAAGGTAGGCCAATTTTAAGATCAAATACTGGGAGATGGAGAGCTTGTTCCTTCATTGTAGGTATGTGATAATGTTCATAACTTATATCCTCTTTATATATTCTAAAGCGTCACGTAGCTAGCTATGAGAAAAACTTGCATATCTCTGTTGTATACACATGAGTTTATTTCGCTCCAACCTTCTGTCACTTGACAAGGAGAGAAAGACTCAACAAGTGTGTATGATCACGAGTACGGAGTACATGTAATTTTTTCTCCTGATCTGACAAAACAAAATGATCCTCCATTTCAATGTTTGACCAATCAATATGTGCACGCATGGATGATTTTTCAGGGTATGAAGTGTTTGAGAGGATGGCATACTATGGAATTGCATCAAACTTGGTGATTTATTTGACAACGAAGTTGCATGAAGGCACAGTTACCTCTGCAAACAATGTTACCAACTGGGTTGGCACTGTTTGGATGACACCGCTTTTGGGAGCCTATATTGCAGATGCTTATCTTGGTCGATATTGGACTTTTGTTATTGCTTCAGCCATATATCTTGTGGTACAAAATTAACTCAATCTACAAACATATTATCTCATTTCTCGTGATAGAACTTGCATATGAACCAAATGGTAATTTTTGAACAAATCACACTGTTATGTGATCATGTTTGCTCAACTGTGATCACACATTGGTGAGGTGCAAGCAAACTTTTGTTCTTTCTGAAAAGTGGGGAACGAGATTCGAAACAATATATCATATGCATGAGTACATTATTAACTACTTAAGTTACAAACTCCTAGCGAGCCAACTTTAATTAGTCGTTCATGAGTCTAAAGTCTAATTAAACTTTACTTGATTTGTGTTTTGCTTCATCCCAAGGTTATATCAGTTGAGTTTCATTAGTTGATGATTTCTATAATATGCTTCTTTATGATATATGAACATCTCAAATTTGTTCCTTTCTATAAAAAAAAAATTTGGTTTTGTAACTAGCCAAAGTAGTCTTTGAAATTGGTATAACTCCTCATTTTGGTCCCTAAAGTTTAAAATCGATAGAACTGGTCTATGAGTTTGTCCACCATCAGTCATTTTGATCATTCTATGAAAAATCTTCATTAAATAAGGAAGAAAAT